CTTCTGTCTCTACGATGGACTGTTGAGAGCGGCTGGTGGCGCCGATCCAGGTGGGTGCAAGGCAAACGATTTCAAGGATTCACCCCTGATATATGTCTACAGCTATGCAGGGTGTCTCCTGTACAATGTCGGCTCCTTTATGCTCCCTGCGTTGTACAGCACTCTAGTCAAGATCTGGATTGCGAACATCGACTCTACCCTGGTGGTTACAACGGATGTCTATACTTATATCGGCACTGTTGCCGAGGTACTTAACGAAGGTCTTCCTCGTGCCGTCTGGGTGACTATCGCCGATCAGGTTACGCGTTCATACGAGTCTCGTCTAGAACTCGCACATACTCTGGTCGCGTTCCAAACAGTCCTCGGTCTGATCATGAGCATAATTTTCACCAGCGCAGCCAAAGCCTTCACGGCCACCTTCGTCCCGCGTGAGGCTCGGAAAGCAAGTATTACCTATGTTCAGATTAGTGCATTCTCAGCCCTCAGCTCTGCTATAGAAGTTGCAGTATCCAACGCCACAAGGGCTCTGGACAAGCCCGACGTTCCTCTCGTGATTAGTTCGGTTAAGGTTGTCGTGAACATTATCTTGGATCTCCTGATCATATCCAAGTTTCATGTGGGTGGTTGGTCTCCTAATATTAACATGCAGGCTGCGATTCGTCTAAACTGTGACATGGTCACGGCTCTTACTGGCTTAGCATACTTCATCCAGACAATAACCTGTCCGAAGGACGACGCAGCTGGCACTGGATCGGAATATATCCCAAATTTTCTGCCTTTTAACGCTTCTCAAACCAGGTTTGATCACCTTTGTCGAGTCGGCAGTTCGAAATGCGCTATACCTCTGGTTGGTTGCAGGAATCGTGACGATGTCCGCAGACTATGCTACAGCATGGGGGATATTCACCTCAATTCGATGGGGTTTGATCATGGTGCCTGTTCAGGCACTGGAGGCTACGTCTCTAGCTTTTGTGGGGCATTTCTGGGCTATCTTCAAGGGAAATAATATACAAAGCGGGTGTTGGAGAAATCTTGCAAGTGAGTTCCAAGTCATCGAGCAGCTTTCGGGTACAAAACTTATGCTTTGTAGTGGTCGCGCGACCGGCTTTTCTCGCTGCTGGTATAGCTTTAGCTATCGAAGTACCCATCTGCATCCTTCTGGCTACTGTAGGGCGCAAACCGTTTGCATATTATCTAAGTCAATCGGAAAGGGTTGCTGAGATCACGGCTCATATGTGGCAGACGATAGATTGGTGAGTTTACAGTGGCTACGACTTCTAAAGTACTGATTGTCCATCATCACTCATGCATTCAAGGTGTTACATTCTTTATGCGATCTCTACCCAGCTTGCTACCGTACTGCTGGCCACCCGTCCAATGTGGTATCTCGTGCAGAGTCTTATTTATAACCTTCTTTACGTCCTTCCTTGGGCAATTGTCTGCCAAGTTGCTCACCTTGATCCTCAAAATGCTGAATATATAAGTTTTGTGGGAAGCAACCAGCGATATACATTTTACCAGGTAAGAAATTTGAGAGTCAAGATTGCTGAGTTCCACTACGAAATCGTAGTCTCCATATGTAAAATTGGGAAATACTTCTCGAGCCTTCAATACAACCATCCAAAAGTATTTGCTAGTAGAATCTTCCCCATTCACGTCGGAATATGTGGTTCATCAATTGCTGAAAGCCGTCTTGGTATGAAGATTATTGGTGTGGCTGGCTTTCGAAAGCCCCGGTCGATTTGGATAAAGGCTAACTCTCATGCTTCAGAGGGCAAACCGGTTTCATATACCTCGGATGACTGAGAGGAACTGTTCATTTGAACTAAGATAGCAGGTTGATTAGCATCAGAATGTTGACAATGTGATATTATGGCCTCTCGTGCTCCGACTGACCTTTTTCGGCATCATTGGCATGATGTTCAACCACAAACCTAACCTCAAAGCACTTGGAACCATAACGTAGCTTTTCGGCAGAGATTGAGGCTCCCAGAGCCTCCTGATAGCAGGTGAGGAACTGTCTAAAATCGGACTTTCGCATGCTGAGACCCCTATGGATGTTGTCTTTCTCGGTCTTAAAGTGACGGTAGAGGACATCGGGACGGGGAAACCCTTGCAGGCATTGAGGGCAAACGACACTTATAGTTGACTTCTGAATAATCACTTTGAAAGCACTTAGCTGTTTTCCTAAGCTTGTCATGTTGTACTTTGATAGAAGAACCCGATGCCGTACTGTGCTCCGGGGAATTGGAGAAATTAAATAAGATAAGAGACCATGTCAAGTGTGGTGTACAACTCATATTGATTATCAGACCCTCCATCGAGTGTACCGAAACACTGCTACTCTAAAAAGAGCATTTTTCTGCGGCAACCAAAGCCAACTATTACTATGCGTCGACAAGTCATATACATTCTATGTACACTAATGTATAACTGACTACATTCACAGGCATTGACCTTCATACCAATTTATTCGCTCAACCAAAACAACTGATTGGATCAGAAGCACTCCGACTGAATTTACTCTTACGGTTTTCCTTTGCCTTCTCCCGAGCCTTATCCAGATCCGACTCCTTGAATCGTCCTTCGCGTACCGATGCAGCCATGTGATCCAGAATAATCCAATTCCAGCCAGCTTTAACCACTGCAAGTGTTGCCGAGCTTCCGAGTCTCTTGAACTCGCCCCAAGGAAGGCGGTCATAAAAACGATACCGAAGGTATGTTACCACGAGATCATCAGGCCCTCTTTCCACACCGGCAAAAATGATGATCTAAACATGTCAGTGGAGAGACCTCCAAGCAATTCAAGGACATAGCGAACCTCTTGTTCTTGCGATGTAGTTTTGGTAAAGGGCAGCCATTTCTTGAGGCCTTTCCAGAACGGGACAGTATTGGTAAAGCAGTCCATTACTCCTCTGAGTAGAGAACCAAAAAAGGGGAATTCAAAGATTTAGGAAGACCTAGGCAGCCGACGGATTCGAGGCAGTTCTGCATATGTGACTGATTTCTGTGGCTCGAGCTCTTTACTTATAACTCGTATGTCTACCATGATCCGCTTCTATCTATAAGCTAATGCTTGAGATAATTTATGGAGCAATAGAAAAGATTCAAAGGCCATCAAGGAGCGTTATGTCCGATCAACCTGATCTCAAATCTAAGCGAACGACCAGTTCGACTCTGAGTATATGTTCTGCGTCGCGGTGCGGGATTCACACAAGCTTTGATGAATGTGTGTCATTCAAAATAGCCGTATGCGTTTCAGTCAGTGTACAGTGTTTAGTCTACTGCCTACTCATTCGGCCATTTTGCTTAATACTCCAAGGATCGATCAAACCTAGAATTCATCTTGCTATTGTTGACTTATGCCGCCCCGATTTGTTTGGTTGCATCTCGTTTGGTTGCGTGTCTTTGTGTTCCGCCGCGTTCCAATGCGCTTTGCTGCGTTCCGTTCCCATCCATACGTTTTTTTCTCATTCTCCAATTCATCGTAACTGTTTTTATTGTTTCAGCTAATCTTGTTCGATGTTTTTCGAGGCATGATGGGTCACACTGATCGTGGTGGAAGTGCTAGAATTTCGTCGCGAAAAATGCCGGTCGTTCAAACCGCCTTCTTTCTCAGGCGGTTATAATCCTATATACCACATCACGTGATGCTATGGGAGGAGACGTGGTCAAATTTCGGGCAAATGTTTCCTGCCTTACGAAGAAAATTCTGGATAATAGCAGCTAATAGCCAGGACTACCAGCCAATATCTTAAAAGTATACAGCCTGTTGATACTTGAAGAACATTCTTTCGATTAGCGCATCGTGTACAGTGAAGTCGCAATGGCTGTGGACCAGTTCTAAATATCCGTGATGTGGAGCTTAATGATGAAATTCTGGAAAAAGCCAAAAAGATCTGCTACCTGATGTTTGCATCTAGAGATTTCAGACACTTACATGAGTGAGACTGCGGGTCGTTATGACCTTCTCTTTACCTTGCAAAAAGACAAGCTCTATCTTAGGATCTTCAGTGTCTGAATAATGCACTTGGGCTCGGGAAACAGATAGTCATCACAAAGCCTTCCCAATGCATGTTGCACATAGGTAGAGCAATTGATAAAGAACGAAAAGTAAGAAGTGGATAAAAACCGTACTTCAGCAGCAATAGTAAGTGTTGTATCAGGCCAGGTTTTGACCATCATTTTGAGTTGGTGCCCAATGTTTCATGATCTTCAATCACGTGCCAAGTCATCTCATCAGGTGCCTTTGATTACCCCGCCATGCTCAATTCAGCCCCACTCCATTTACTTTTCCACTACACTTAATATCCGAGTCTCCTTTTCTTCTCGAAAGCAAATCACTCACTACTAACTCTAACGGGAGTACAGCCTTCATGATGTCGCAGACAACATCAGAAATACCACATTTATCTGAGGACGACCTACCAGAGAATGCGAATACAGAACGAAAGATCTTCGCGAATTGGGCTTCCTCGGTCCCGTTCAAGAAGCAAGCTGAAGATTTTGAGATCCATAATTCAGTCGAATTAGACATCAAGCTGGCTCCCTTCCTACAATCTCTCAATCTTTCTAGCAAGGTATACAGTTTTCCTTTCAAGCAGAATATACACCTGACAAGAACACAGGGGTATTCTTTGGTACAGATACCGGGACCGGAACATGCACCATTTCACCACAGCAAAGGCGATGCTTTCATCATACCAATCGAAATACTTGCCGGTAGTCCGAGCGCCTCAGGGAAGCCTCTTCGAGAAGGAAAGCGGCTGTTCATGAAGGCAAACCACGAAGTGAAGATCGGACCGAAGCTGCGCCTTCTCTTTATTTTACTCTAGCAGACATATTGCGCGAATCATGCTGCTCATGGGGGATGATATTTGGTGTTTGAAAGGTTGAAAGCAGGCTGTGGTTATCACCGGGAAATGAAGGACACAGCGGTGGGACAAGCAAATGCGGTTGAGCTATAACACTTGAGGGGAGCCTGGAGAATAGACTCAGCTCGTGTGACTGACCGCGGGATATGGAGTTGCTGGTCAAGACACAATTAGCATCACTTGTATTTCTAGAGAATTGAGCCAAATCGTGCGACCCTGTGTGAGCCAACATCCCATCCTCTTCAGGTCTGGCTTGGATTTCCATAAATGAGGACTGTAATGACACTCTCTGACTGTTCGACTCGGCGCGAGGAAGTGTGGAGAAGGTCGTGAGTTCATGAGAGTCTTTGCTGGGGTAAACTGTGACATTGGCTTGACGGCTCAAATTTTCGCTGTTATCCGTCGGGCAATCATCATGCCGTGGGTGAGCATCCCCGGACTCATTGGCGACATGACAAGGCGCGTGCGTATTCTGAATCGGATTTCGTCGGCCGCGTTTCGTTGTTTGTGAGATCATTTCGAAGTCTCCGGTCATGTTTTCAAACCACTCCGAGATATCGTGCTCCGATACAAAGGGGATATCCGTGTCATTATTTCGGGCTTCTTCCATAGTCTCAGAATTTTCGCCGTAGTCTTTCAGTAAAGATTTTGCGAGCGACGGTAGTTCCTGAATTGGGATACTCTGAAATAAAGCATGTTCAAAAATCGTGGCTCGAGCAAGCATCCCCTGGACGGCCCTCTTTTGGACAGGCGTTGTGGAGACTTCCTGCATTACTTTTAAGAATAGATGCTGGATGATTCCTCTTTGAATTCCCTTCCGTACAACATTTTGATCCGATTTGGGATATCCATGGTCTCTGACAAACTGAGTCATTTTCCCAGCACGACCAGTAGCAGCAGTTTTGTCTCCGACGCCCACAGCTCGGATCTTCTCGTAAAGGGTATCTACCTTGGACTTCCAACCGTGCTCAGTTTCCCAGGCGGTAAATTGATGGGCCAGAGATAATTGGCTAAGACCTTTCAGAAGTTTCTGTTCTTCGCTTGGTGTCTTATTGCCGTCAACTTGTTTCAAATGATCGACTCTTTTATCTGCAAACTGCAACTCTTGTTCGTTTTGCAGGATGTCGGAAAGAGAAGCGTTGTCCTTGCAAAATTTCAGAACATAAGGGAGCTGCTGTATCACGGATTTGATCAACCTGGTAGAGAAAAGACCTTGGGCGGACAGTCGCTTTCGTTTTCTCGTTGCATCCGGCGAAGTCCGTCCCTTTCTTTTACTTGTTGCATCCTGCAAAGTATGGGTCGAAGACAAAACAGAAGTACTTCGGCCCGGTAAATTGGTAGGTAGGTCAATAGAATCCCTTTCACGAGTAGGTATACTTTGCGAAGAAACTTCTGCCTGAGAGATCGTGGACTGAGGGATGATGGCACCTTCCGAAGAGCCATTACTATGTTCCACCTCAACACCATGCGAAAGGCACTCGCTCTCATTCCAGCTAGCATTTAGCACACGTCCAATTTGAGTCAGAGTCTCGAGAGCCAGATGGCGATGGATACTGAGAATTTCACGAGGAGTATCGCGGAGCAGGTTTAATGCTGATATGACTTCGGTTTCTAGTGGTGCCATGGCGAGTATCTTGGTAGGTAGGAATTCTGAGAGACTGCGAGATGAGTGCCACAAATATAGTTTTAATAGGGAGGGTTTCGAGCAAGCGGGGAAGGAAAAAAGCCCGAACGCCAGAAAAGGTCACTCACCAATCGAAATGTAGCTTGTTGGCCGACGGCCAACAAGCTACATTTCGATTGGTGATTTCGTCCGCAGTCCGCCATGAACGGGCCCTTGTCACCAAACTACTCAACTTTCACTTTCAGTAGCCGTTGGGCCAGAACAATAGCCACACCAGAAAGCGGCCGCAATGCTACAATGATCTGTAAGACATAGTTCCGTTGGTTAATAACCATCTATAGTCGCCTTGATTCCTTTAAATTTAAATTACTGAGCATTGGAGAACACCTTCTTCAGCGCCTCGAAGGGCTGCTTCGCAGACAGCAGTCTAAACAATGGAACAATGGAGTATCAGACCTCTCTCTTTCTGAACGCATGGTGTAAGTTACTCATCAGACCTTGCGCGGAAAACGTCTTCAAAGTGGCACCTTTGAGCATTCGTGTGACCGAGGACTCATGTTCTTCATTCTTTATTTTGTGCTATTTCCGAAACCACAAAAAGAAACACTCACAGATTGCTGGAAACAAAATCAACATAGATAATTCTAGGTGCCTTTCGGCCTTTGGTAATCGAAAACATTGGCCTTTCAATCTTGAGAAATTTCCGAAGGTCGTTAGGTAGGATGATGCGCGTAATGGAGGGAGGGGTTGTCCCGCACTAGAAGATAGCGGACTTGGACCAGTTCGCAAACCGAGTCACGTGATCTAAAATGGGCATTCAAGCCTCCAGGCTGCAACTGCCTTCTGACCGTTCCAGCCTCCTTAATGGCAGAAAGCTTCCCAGACGTAATCTATCTTGGCGGTGGCGGATGGGGAGAGATGGGGAGAGATGGGAGAAGAAGGTCTCAACATACATGCGGCTGACCCGCGATCAGCATACGCTCTAAGAGGCTTGACAACAAACGATCCATTCATTTATCTTTGAGCCGCTAGATAGTCGAAAGATTGGTATGTATCCTGTAATTTGACTACACCCCCAGTGTCAGCATGGACGTTACTCCACTTTGCCAAGGGGAAAGGTGTCACAGCCAAGATAAGCTGCAGTGAGCTTGAAGGATAATCGCCGTTGATTTTATCACATGCACCTGCAAGCCACTGTGATTGAACTTGCATGCCAACAGTCGTCAAATAATTGTATTCATGATACGCCAACAGGTTCTATCACGCCTAGCTCACGTAACTCAATCTGTGACTTGACATACCGGGGTTCTTACAAACTACCTTTGACTCATGTTCACTAAATCTTTTTGAATTTGTGAATGTGAAGAGCATGCGTTGGAATATTAGAGTACAGACGTGTTGGGAATAGAGGCTGTGTTATTCGGAATAGACACCTTCACAGGCTTCGATCAGTATGTTTAGGTCAAATGAGTGTCCACTTGCTGGCTTCTCAAGGATATTGATGGGGGACAACAACAAGGTCAAAGCCTCCAATAGGGTTCCAAGAGGTCAGAGCAACAACATAAGTACACTTTTTCTTAGCAAGTGTCTTGGGCTGCAGCTAAAAAGTCGAAGTTGTTCATATTACTACTTGTTGTACTGGGTTTATTGTTTATTATATGTTAAGAGACATTCAATATAAATATGGAGTACCACATCGAGACCAGAGTTTCTCTTATTGGGTTTCAAGCACAAGGAGAAATCAGATCCCAAGTTATATTCACCAACATTAGTTGTGCACGGTCAGTAAGTAACTCGAAAAAATTTGATCTATGATGCACTTGCTTAACTTCAAAACAGCAATGACAAAATTCTCAGCCAAGGTTGTCAAAGAATTCGCGCAAGGAATTCCTTGGAGCAAGGTCATAAAAAAGGCCGCAAACATCGATCGAGGAAGACGCGTTTTCCCTAGCCAGACGCCCAAGAACGACGCTAAATACAATTTGCGACTGGACAAAGGCTCGGTGGTTGATGGAAAGCATGAATTGATCCTCCAAGCCAACAAGAATGCTGCAAATCCAGGTGTGAAAGCTGCAGCCTCCGAGGATAGCCATAAGATTTGGGCCAAGATTCTCGTTGACCCTGAAAACCCAAATGATGACAAGGCTGAAGAAGATTTGATTGCATCATTCAAGGAAACCGATTGAATAGGTGACACTGTTGGCATGGCTTCAACCCTTTTTTCACACGAATCGGCCATTCTCGATCGTCTTATTCAACCATTCGATTCTCGTCACTCGTTTCAGTCCAGAATTTCTTTGGGTAGCGATACTTAAAGAAATCTGATTTGACGTACAACTTTGTATCTAGGAATGAAATATTAGAAGTCTCCAACAAGCTTTCTTTCTTTCCTGTGCGTAGTCTGAGATTGTTGATCCACTATTTCATGACCGTCAAAGCTTTTGTGGGTTTCGCGGTTGTAACGTGTTTGAGACGGGGCTAAGTGGGGCTAGCGGGCGCGAACCAGTAGTAATGGAGATACCGCGATGAGGGGACTCGTAAAATACTTAAAAGGCGGCGGCGACCTTCTCACATAACACAGATTGTCACTTTCGAAGCCAACAATGAAGTTGTCTACTGCACCTGCGTGGAAGAACACCTTTTTTTCTAAGAGCTATCATCACCATAAAACGCACTTGGCTTCAAGAATACCAATCACCCCCTTCCCCCATCTCTTTGAAAAGTCTCACCGATTTCTGCGTTTTATGAGCTCCGCAAGCATGCCACAGCCTGACGCGGATCTTTTCCGATATACCAGTGGCCGTTGGCTATGGAATGAAGAGCAGCAACTGCGAGACCGGTTCTCACCTTTCAATGTGCTTGAGCTGCAAAGAATCGCAGCGCAGAGTGTTGGAGCAGATACGTGCACTGCAATCAAAAAGCTGGCAGAAGGATCTTTCAACAAAACCTTCAGGCTTGAGATGGGTAATGGATTATCCGTGATTGCAAGAATACCCCATTCTATTGCTGGGCCTAGACACTACACTACAGCCTCTGAAGTCGCAACCATGGAGTTTGTAAGTACTGAACATGTTTTTTCCGTATGATATCTCTAATAGAGAATCCAGGCCCGCACAATCCTCGGGATACCAACACCTCAAGTGTATGCTTGGAATGCAGATGTGAATAACTCTGTCGGTTCTGAGTATATCATCATGGAGGAAGCCCCCGGTACAAAGCTGGAAGATTTATGGGATATTTTTTCTCTCGAAGAGAAGATAGAGGTCATGAAGGACCTAGTCCAACTAGAGAAAAAAATGCTTCAAGCGCCACTAAATAAGTAATGTGTTCGCAGTCAAGTCTGGTCTATTGTCTTGCTAATAATGACTTAGCTATGGGAGTTTGTACTATGCTGGCGCTGATATAAGAGACGCCGTGCCAGCAGATACCTCTGCAGAAATATCTTCTGAGCTCAAAGACAAGATACGCCGTCGTTTTGTCATCGGTCCAATCGCAGAAAGACACTATTGGTCCAAAGAACGTGCAGAGATGGCGTTGGACCGAGGACCATGTTTGTTCCCTGTTTCTCCTTGTCGATCTAACTAACATCTCGTAAGGGAAACAACCACAGGATTATGTGCTCTCCCTAGCTCACCGAGAAGAGGCATGGATTCAGCAGTACGCAACTCCAAGAGCCGAAGAGGACCCGCTGGTGACCTCAGCAACGCAAAATTCTCCTAACAGCCACATTTCTCTGCTGCGGAAATATCGTAAAGTTGCTCCTTATTTACTTCCAAACGATCCTATCGTGGTTGCACCATACATATGGCATACCGATTTACACGCTGGAAATATTTTTGTCTGTGATGGTAAAATTTCGAGCGTTATAGACTGGCAAGGGCTCTGGGCAGCACCATTGATCCTTCAAGCACGTCATCCAAGACTAGTTGAATATAGTGGTGAAGTCATTTTGAAAGCCCCGGAGAACTTCAAACAGCTTGATCCAGCGGAGAAGATTCGGATCAGAGGCCTCATGAGTAGCTCGATACTGCTCTACCTCTACGAAAAGCAGATTGCTAAAGAGCTTCCCCTTCTCGATAAAGTCCTCCGATTTGATCACGGTAGAACAAGGTGCAATCCAATTTTGTTCGTGGGCGACACATGGGATGACGAGCTTCTACCCTTGCGGGAATCTCTAATCAAGCTTGAGAGGTAACCGCGTCTCGGCAAATTCTGTATAGTGTTTCGCTAATAATACTTCAGATATTGGAATGAATTAGGGTTTGACATTCCATGTCCTATCCATTTCACTGAGGATGATCTTCGTGTTCATGCAGAGGAAAGTGACGGGTGGAATGATGTGCAGGATTTCTGGAACTCTGTCGCGAACTTAGTATCGAGGGATGGCTGGACCCCGCATCATCTATATAATGATGCCATTTCTCTGTTTACAGAGCTACGAGAAATTGGTCTAAAAGCTATGGTAGGGAAGGAGAGGGATGTATTTGAGATCCAGACACAATGGGTCAAGAAGCATTAGCCCGACCATTTTTTAAACGGCTACGATTGTTCCGACCCCCGGGCCGAAACTCAAATATTGACGCTCATATATATGATCTGAGCACATTTATAATACAAGCTTACCATCGCATCACTAGTGCGTCTTCAAATTATGGGGCTTTTAAACATGTTATTTGGTACAAGGTTATGACATCATTCGGAACAGCTTAGAAGCACTACTTTGGAAGTAGTATAATGCTAGTATTACCGTGACAGAGCTCTTTTAACATTTCTTCCGTCTTCGTGCAAGACAACTTATCCCACCGTTCCGACATCAATTTATAGTTTCTTTATGGCAAAGAAAGGATAAGCGAGCATCACAGAGGGATGTGTGCAGATGTACCTTCAAACAGCGACTGCTAATTTCCTCGCGCACTAGCACTTACTACAACGCCTCAAAAGGTCCTGAGTTGCTTATCGGTTTGGTGGGAGAAAGCCATTAAGCTGGCGCGAGCGATATGCAGGAAGGGCCTGATTAATCTGACGGAGGTACCCTCTTTGCCGATAGGCCCTCCATTTTTGTTCCCATACTTGATTGATATTGTTGCGGAAGGATCCTTTCTCGCGCGCGAGAGGTGTCGGGAGGGTGTTTCTTCTCCAGGCCTACTGCTTCCTTAGCTAGGCGGTCTGCGGCCTCTTTTCTAGGGTCGCCACTTCAACTTCCCTTGAAAACTTCAAACTAAGTTACATCAAGTAAAGGCTGGGAGCCGGTTAACCAAACTTAAGTTGGTTGTATCAACTTCTAAAGTACAGAGGGTCTCGAAACCGGCTTGAGTAACAAACACATCACTGTTGTTTTTGAATCTGACTGCCAAATTGTTAGCGTGATTTTCTTTATTGAGCGGGTCGCATCAAAGGTATGAGATTGTGTTATATAATCTGTCGAACGCGCCAACCTTACGAGATACAATACAAGTCTCGTACACCGCACTCTGAAGGTCTTGGTATTTCTCTGTAATCTATACTGAATATGTCACCTGAGGCAAAGCGAAAATTGAGAAATGTCAAGTCTATCAAGCTCAACAATATAATCGCGCTAGCATCTTTGCAGTAAGATTCTCAAACAATGTTGATATGTTCATTGGTTAGGCCAATATTGTGGGTTACTTTATTCGATCTAATTATGAAAGATTATTCATTCTTGCCTCGTATGGAGAAAATGGTTGCACAAAAAGGCTTGATCAAGAGCCTGTATGAAAGCCATATACGGCAAGAAGGAACAACTATAGATGGCCTTTTCCTCGACTTGCTTACACTGACAATACAGCCATTTCAAAAACACACTCGATCGTGACAAAATCCTCTGATTTGAGGATACAATCGATAAAGTGTCCAACATCATCATGATCATATGTGAGAATCCCATGAGAGATATTGCCGTCTCCGACACGTAATGATTTCATGGGATACATAGTCTTTGATGAACATTTTTCGGACATGAGGTCAGCGACAACTTGCAGTATAGCTTGGCGACTTGTGACTGCGATATGTCTTGCTTCCCGAATTGGCTCGTTAAGGAACGGTAATTTTATCTGTATCACGCTTGGAAAGCCTCTGTTTCCCAAGTCGCGTTGCTCAAGTCTCTTTGGAGATAGTGAGTCGGTTTCTGTCACATGACCATCCAGTCTAGCTTCTGTGGAGAGTCAGCTGCCGCCTTCCATCGTATCCCTGGCAAAGGTCATTTATTTGGTCCCTCACCTATTTCTTTATAAACTACCTCATCGTTGGGCAAAACTTCATCCTTCAGGTTTGTGGTCTGGTTGGGCTTGATTGACAGTTCCGGTGTCCGGGGCAGGTTTATGCTGCAAGTTGCTAATTCATTCTTCGAGATTCGATGATTGTGATTGACGAAATATTCCCCAACACGTAGTGCTGAAAAATGATGAAATCTCACAATGCGTATGTCACCTCCAAGCTTGATGACTGCATGACTTCAACTCGCTCTCCATCCGCCTCTACTGTATAAGCCAAAGCAACTACTTCGCTGTCGCGTTGGCAGGTCAAGACTCCGACATCCTTACGGAACACAGCAGATAGATTCGCTAAAGTTGTTGGTTATTCCTTCGCTTCGCCAGTAATGTGCTAAATATGTACTCACCTATTGTTTGTTCGCGATAGAAGAGCTCGCGTGTTGCAGTTCCTTTCATCCTGTATCTGGCTCTTAGCAATTGCTGATGCTGTTGTGACACGCAGTCCAGGAGATTAGGGTTGACTAAATACTCGCCTACCAATGAACCAAAGTATATTATCGAAATTCCAAAGGAATGTTGTCAAGAATGTCCCGATATTACCATCCCATTCCTGAACACCTCTAGTCTCATTTGATGAGAAAGAGAATTCCACGGTACAGTACCACGTTCCCACAATTGAATTTCATGGTTCCGATTTGTTTTGATAATCATAAGAAATGCGATTGATACCTGTGATTCAAACTTACACATGATCCTGCAGGCTTGTTGAAGTTGTTAATGTTCTTGGTCGGGTGGCCGTAGGCCTTGGCAAGAATTTCTGCAATCGGCAGACGACAAATTGGCATTCGATCGACCCAGTGATGCTCACTGATAATGGCCTCTGTGAGACAGAAGATGAATACCGGCATATACACGCTGATGGCCAGTCCGTAATCTCGAAAACCATTTGTTGATATCCTGGCCTTCTTCTCCACGACATGTTTGCCGAAAATCCAAACTCTAACCATAACCTAAAGCGCAGGAAGAAAATTGCCAGTTGGGTAGTCCCCTAGACAATCAATTACGCGCACAAGTACCTGCCGATAATAACCCCGAAGCCCATATACTACGGTGCTTCCAGCAAATGCCTAAAGGTCCCAACCAACCAGGGTGAGCAGTTGAAACGCCGCAAGCGAAAGTTACAAAAATTACATAGACAACCATAACCGTGTAAATGGGTCACATATTCTTCCGTAACCGCCTCGGAGGAATTTTCTTTTTCATCTATCTCTTCATCCTCAAGTTACATCTGTATCGGTTGATGACCACTTGCAATCTCTCTCATGGCTCTTCGAGGACGCACTACCATGCTCTGTATACGATCCCAATTCAGTAACACCAAGCGCATAGCTCGGCCGGCACATTGCTTGGGTTAGCCAGCTGAAATCACGGGGCTCTGTCAAATCTCCCGAAAAGCATGCTGTGGTCGTTTAAGAGGGGAACCTTCTATTAAGGTTGAGAAGGGACGAGAAACGACCTTGGTCGGACGTGACAGGTATTGCGTCTGGTGAGGCTGGTGTATTAAAACAAGAGTACCTCTCCCACCCCGTGTAATCGGCTCAAGAAAAATAATCACGCTAGCATCTTGGCACTGACATTTGGAAACAATACTCATATGTTCGTTGATCAAGCCAATTTCGAGATTTACTATACTGATTGTCCACCATCACTCATGCATTCAAGGTGTTACATTCTTTGTGCGATCTCTACCCAGCTTGCCACCGTACTGCTGGCCACCCGTCTAATGTGGTATCTCGTGCAGAGTCTTATTCATAACCTTCTTTACGTCCTTCCTTGGGCAATTGTCTGCCAAGTTGCTCACCTTGATCCTCAAAATACTTGGACTTATCATAGCCTCGTTTTTGGAGAAAGCCTGGTGTTTACGTTCTCAGAGATTTGTTTGAACATTCTCCTGTGGTTTTGGAAATCTCGGTAAAGCTTGTTGGTGCTATACCATTACATGTACGAAGAACTTAGGATCACGTTACTAGTTTTTGTATGATGGCGTAAAGGTGTATCAGTGTAGGTAATCGTACAAATTGATATGCTACAAGTGATTGTCTACGCCAATGATATTGATGGAATGCCCGTTGATCGCACCAGAATCGATGGGCAAGGAACAAAGACCAATGGTAAGCATCGTTCAACGAACGCAGGCGGAGGTAATGATTGCTTCCGTGTGGTAAACGGTGCACTTAGCTACGAGATATCAACTACGAAACGCTATATGTGCAACTGTTGCGAGACTGAGGAATTCATGCTAGTAGGGTCGAAGACAGCTTCATAGCGTAGAGAATAGCCTACGTATCCATTGAAAATCATCTCATTCGTTGAACTCATTGTTCAGCCTGTTCAACGAGGAATTGTTCAATCGGGCCGGCTGTTGAACAAGATCGCATGGAAATTTGGGAACTGGAACAACGCTTCGCTTCTCTGATTCAACGCGAGAGAAACCAAAATGATAGTACGCCTTTGGTGGGATGAACTATGGAGATGACTACATAACGTGTTCAACTACGAATTGGTGTATGTGCATTTTGCGACGTTTAGGCCAGCGGGTAAAATACTTTGCACGCCAATCGCAGCCGACTGTGGGCCTTTTGCGTAAATCTGGTATTGCGTGTGCCAACACCTTGCATATGCTGAATAAACCACTAAGTGCAGGATTTGTTCTGATGAGAAAAAATAATAATTGGTCCAACAGCAAAAGGAAAAATCCGCGAAGAGGCTAGTTTGTCATCAATGCTACGAATAGGATACTGATGGTCAAGATTATGTGGATATCGGTGGAAATGAGCAGCTAAGAAATTTGGAGTTTGGTTGCAGCCAACTGCTCGGGTCCTAGATTAATGGGCTTGGAACCTAGAAAAGACTCTTTGACGGAAAATCTCTTCCTCCGGCTCCGACCGTAAGTGGATGTCATCAGACACGCCCAGGTGGCTCCTGACGACGTAGGCCAACCGCTATCCGACCGTGCTATTCGACAATTTATGGAACTCTCATAAGTTGAATGGCTAGGACAGTAACAGCTCACCAGACTACAAAGCACTATACTTGGAGGCCGAAAAACGGAGAAGATTGGCCGAGGAGAAGAGGAAGCAGGCGGAGAAGGAACGAGATCTAGAGCGAGAACAAATGCGTCCAACCAGCTTTGGAGAGCTTATTCGTTACTACCACAATTCTTTTTCACAGCGCTTAAAACTAAAGCATCATCTCGATCAACCATAGGAAAGATACCGCCGCCTATAAAAAAGTGCTGTCCGCTGCGGTTCCGGCCGTGAATAGACTGCAGTACTATTTAAAAGCAGATCTACCGTTCGGTATACAGCTACCTACAACCGTTAGATCAAGATGCGGGGCTCTTATCCTAGCTATAACTCTTTTTAAAGATCCTCGAAGACGAGTTCAGCAAAAGACCTATAAACAGTAAACAGGACCTTAAGAATTATAAACAATTTTGCGTTGAAAATCACGTCCGCAATATTATTACGAAGCTGTATACTATAGATGCTGCTCGAGACGAATTCAGATTAGACAAAAGTGTCCAGTTTAACAACCATACCAATGCTCTTAATACTCTTAACACAGATAAAGAGAATAAACATAAGAAGAACAAAACAACCAGTTCTTAGCATTCCAAATTCGATCAATTCTATATCTATCGCGTGAATAGCGAACAAGAAGCTCTATTAATAACGGTCAAATATAAACCACCTTACAAGCTGTCCGTAGAAAATCTTCGCGCAGAATTCGAACCGATGGATTTCTGGCGTAAGACAGTCAGACCAGCTTTTGTTCCTATAAAAAGACCTAAGAGATTCAGATATAATACCGTCTGGTTGACAGGCTCGGCAGTAATATCAAAATACTATATTATAATCCAGAAAGATCTCGAATACTCATATTTAATAAACGGCCTCGCCTTGGTCCTGCTGAAAGTCGACTATAACGATCCAAGTACGCTGTACTACCACCTCTGCAAACCAAATATAAAAGTTAATTATTAAAAGATAAAAACCTGCTACAGCAGCCGATAACATCTGTTGCCCGAGTTCTGTACCTGTGCTTAATAAGTTTTTAATCGGATATCAAAATCAGAAGTAAAGAAATGCGGCGCGGACGTATCTGCCGGAATAAAAGACAAGCTTCGGCCATATACATTTACAGATCCCTATATTAGAATTGCAGTATAATCTACCCAGATCGGAGTATACAGTCTCAGAATACACCAGCTCCAAACTTATTACATCCGAATATATTCCGTTATGGTCGCCGGTGCAGTCGCCTCTCAAACATCAGATTGCTACTCGATCACAACATAACTGTACGTCTTCGAATCCTAAGTCCTGTTCAGAAAACATCGGTCTTTCATCCGACTCGAGGCAGATAACACTACAGAAAAGCGAGAATAATATCTTAGCCAGTTACTATCGTCTTCAGCATCTCCTTTTATATATTCATCGGCTCGTCGCACACGCTCTCGCCACAGCCAAAATAATCGACACCAGGAGAACACTACACCGTTCTGTATTCAGCATTCTTTGCTAAATCTATAACAGAACAGTAAACTGGATATATAATATCCCAATATCAGATTTCACCGTAAAAAAAACAGCTAATATCACCTGATCAAAGCAGAGACCATAATAAAGCAGATCAAGCAGCAGCTGGACAAAAACATCAACTATAGCTGTATACTAATCAAATACAGTATTATAGCACATCAGAATACCGTTTAAGATCACTTGCGCTACATACAAATATATAATAGTCGGAGAAAAAAACCACACGACCATCCTGGTATCATGTATCCCGCAAGGCCGAAATCTATAGTCTACTGTCGCGAGTATAGAAATCAGCTGTACCAGTATTTCTGAATAAGCTCGACTTGAATAAGTTTTACTTTCATCATATACTGGAGAATTCGCCATATTCTGCTGACGGCTTGATATAGCAAGCCGATTAGTTTACAAATACAAAAGAAAGCGGTGGCTCGTAAGATTTCGAGGTCTACTAAAATAATTTGTCTATCCGGGATTCTGCACAACGACCTTCGGCCGGACAATTATATATGAGATACGGAATGAAATAGAGTTTTGATTATCGACTTTGATTGTTCCAAACTTGATCTCCGGTTCATTCGAAAACGCCAACTATCCTCCTGCTGTGGAACTGAGGGAGGTGGGCGAAAGCAACTTCATATAATCTGCAATTGAGAGCAATCGGAGCTAGAACTCAGTGTATAATACGCCGGCTTCAAAATAATCGCTGACCATTATTACAACATTTATTCTGGAAACCCTTGCTCAAGATGTCTGTTTAAGCACTTCGGCATCAATATTTCAATTCCGTTCTCTCTCAGTTTCCTCTTCTGACAGCCAACAATCATAACTTCTTGTTGGTTCCGTATAGTAGTAGTAGACCAACCAAATCATAAACCTCCCTCACTAGCCTTCAGGCATTCTGCTTGAATTAGGTGAACGTTCGAAAAAGACTTTAATTTGAGGTGTTCTACGGCGCTTTACCGCCATCAACGGCAATGACAAGGTAGGACTGCCACGTCACAGCGAGCGATGGTGCGGGGTGCTGCGCGACTATTGGCACAATGATAGGCAGGTTTTTTTGCAAGAATTGTACAGTACCAATGGCCTCGAATAATACGTCTTATGAGGCTTCAGTAATTGGATTTTTCAACAAGATGAAGATTGCATGTTCGCAACATTTTAGATAATGAATACTGATTCATTCACTGTGGAAGATGATGAGCGCGTCTACGCAAATACTCAACGTTCAACAATTGTGTTTCTAGCATCAAGAAGAGCCTAGGAAGGGCCTGACTGAAATGTATTTTGTATGTCACTGCAAATATTTGTGAAACATCACCTCTCGTTCGTTGTCCTCAATATCAAGGCCGTCGAACAACGTATGTAATACGCAGGTGTATGCCCTTAGAGATCCTCGCTGCGAAACTATTGCCAGTCGCTGTTCTGTCTCACGCTTGCCGTAATGCCTCATCAAGTGCTTGGTAATCAGTGAGGAGCTTCTCCGTCAAGGGTGCGTTGCAGACCGAAATTGGACGGACCACACCCAACATATTGAGAAGCGGTCGATTCCTACCATCTGTTCTTAGAACAACATCCTCAGCTAGCCACGCATTTTTGGTGTGATATATGACTCACACTCTAAGATCTCAGAAATATAATGCAAGATTATTTCAAGACCGATGAATAGTGCCAGGCCATATGCCTTCAAGAGGTGGAGTGCCTAATCATGTCACGTCTGATAGTCAATTCCCATTCATCCAAGCTAGGTAAACTGCTCAAATCTACGAGGATCTTCGTCTCTCTCAAAATTGCGAAGAATCCTTCTTCTCTCGCCTGTTATGACTTGGCCTGTGCAACTTCCTCACATAACATCTGTACTGTTGCCAGCTTGAGGACAATTTTTTCTCGGACAGCGAAACAATCATAATTGGCAACTGGAAGATTATTTCGTGCATTAAAGATGTTCGATATATGTAGATTACGAACCGTCACCTCGGCATTCTCGATGTACTCTGCAAATGGTGTTAGGATTAGAAGAGTAAAAGTAAGTATTTATTAGTGGAGGCACGAACCTAGAGCTTGTTTCAAAGTACAATGTGCGTGTATCTGTTGAATAAGTTTCTCAACATGTTCCAACTCCGGCATCGTGTTTGCTGCGAATATCTCAAAGTTGGAAGGTGAGAATCTCTTGTGAGCATCTGAATCTGGTTCAGCAGATCTAAATGGCGAGAATGGCTTAAAGTGAAAAATCAACTTACCTTGCAAAGATATTGATCGAAAGTATGCGTAGAGAACATTGTCTCCTGCTTCATCAAGCCTTCTACTCTCCGCCTCGAGTCCGGTGAGGGCTGCAAAGTAAATAGCAAGAGGATATTTCCAACTAGGTGCCAGGCCGATCAAAATCTCCTCGACAGCCTCCAGACGACAATACACTTCATTTCGAGACAAAGGTGAAGAATTCGACAACCAAACTTCCTTACGAAATCGAATAACATCTTTTGGCCAGGATGGTTTTCCACCGCGAATCGGGATTTGATGGAACTCGTAGAAACAAGGCGGCGAACGGCGTAGCCGATCATTTTCAAAGAGCTTTTGAGCAGAAAGAACCATGTGTTTGCTTTCAATTTTCAGGGACCTCTGCGAAAGATACTCTCCGAAATAATAAGGTGTGGTGTTTCGAAGCTTTGAGAAATCTTTCAAATCTGTGTCGAAGCCGCGAAATACCCGAATCAAGTCCAGGTCGCGAAGGAACGTCCTTTTGCGGAAAAGCGTTGTGTCAATGACATAAAGTTTGATTTCTTCTAAGCGTGAGCTGTCGTTTGTGCTTAAGTGTCGGAAATAGATGTATTGGATTGCAAAGAGTAATGGACTGGTCCAGGAGACGAAATTGTCCTGCACTCCTTCTTTAGACCACCATCGAAGGTGCTGATTCAACGTATGAGCCACCCGTTTGCGCTTCTCATCGCTCAACCGAGAAAAGATATCTTCTGAAGAGGAGTTCAAATTTTGACATGCCGCCATCGAGCGTACCCATGAACCATCCGTTTTCCCATCCGAGAAAGGAGAAACCACGCGGAAAAGGTAACGTGGAACATCTGGAGATATTGCACTGTCGGCAGATGGGTTGAACAACAACCTTCTGACACTTTGTTCGTCTCATTCAAACCCGTATGTCTCAACTTTTCCGCCAGACTATCCATCTTGGATAATCACTTGAATCTTCTATGCAGTAGTCTCTCGAGGATAGTGAAAAAGAAATGTTGCAGTCTACTCAATTTTGTAGCTGTGCTTTGTGACGCTAGACGGGCGGAGTATGGGCGCTTGTTAAGGATATTAAAGTCAATGACGTCACGGTCATGATGTCCAATCTACCCCGCTTCTGATTACTCTCTTCAGCGTTTAGTTCAAAGCACTCTACGAGTTCTTTCGAGAGAACTTCCCCTACTAAAAAATATACCCACAGTCGAAAAGACAAGGCTGGGCCTGAAGAACAGACGCGGGTTAGCTCAGATATGAAATGGTCACGCAATTCATTTCTGCCTGGTTTCTTGACTGGCATTGGTCATGATGACACACAGATTATGCGATATTAGCAGAGAAATTTACACACATTTTCTAATTGAGTGACTAATAAGGCACGGGGTAGATTCCATTCTCAAAGTGCATATTCAAAGCTGCCAAACGTCAAAGACCCAATTTAGCAGCCGTTGCCGCTCCCCTGCCTTCTTCGACAATCGTACAATAAAGGGGCTAGTCCCTGTTGTTTTTCACCTTTGTTTTTGCCTGCTATGTTCGCACTGGACTCGCGGGATACGGCATTTGCCAAGTCAACTTTGCGGCGGATACAGTGCACGCTGTTCCTGGTGGCGACCATGGCGATGAAGAGCCGATGGTATGGGTCAGTTTCGATGTCGCGACGACCTTTACAACTGCAGGGCTAGATGAACAGCGGTTGGGTGAAACGGAAAATATAGTAGATATTGGAATTGGCTTGACCAACAAACACATCACTATTGTTTCTGAATCTCACTGCCAAGATGCAAGCGTGAGGGTTCTTATTCAGTGGGCCGCGATAAAAGTCATAAGGTTGTGCAAGATACTCGCATTCCAATATACTACTAGCCCTACCAAACGAATACCTGTCTTGGACACGGTATTTCAATGCGATATCGCCTTAACATATGATCCGGATCTCAAGCAATTACACAAGGATCAAGACGCGAACTTTTCTATCAACCACGGTGTGATGGTGAGTGTGGCTCGTCGTTTCGTCGAAGAAATACAAAGATGGTCAGATGACTTCAGCATGTAAGATGAATCTCAGAGGTTGTGGCACCTTATGTTACGCATGTATGGTTTAGTTGTCACATTGAGCACGGTTCAAGCGTAACTGTTTTGAGAACTGATACTGTAACAGCACATGTGATCAAGCCAATTAATGCTAACTACGACCCGCAGTTTGTTGGGCATGAATGCATGTGGCCACATCGTATCTGCGAGACTGTCATCGCCAATACCGGTAAAAGGCATCTTACTTGTGAGTCAAAAACATGATAATCAGCAGGACTAACTTCAGATTTATCTTGCTTGAACCCCCAGGTCAATGCTTCCAAAACGTATCATCAAGATAGTTTCCAGTGTTGAGACCTCGCAACGAACAAACATCATGGACCGAGCAACACACATAATCGACCCGGACGGGGAAGTTATAATAGTTCTACAAAATCCCAATGCCCCTTTTGCAATACTAGGTGAAGCTATAACCAGCGACAATCTTGCATATACCTTTCCCGGACCGAGCAATGGAATTCAGGACTCCGCGGAAAGGTTAGAAGCCTTGAGAAATGAACCGCCTGAAACTCTCAGAAAGAGGAAGAAACATAAGAAGAAGAAAGGGTCTACTTCTGGATGGCGTGCTGTTCACAATACATCAGAATCTATACACCCATCAAGCGAAGAGTCTGCTCCTGGGTGGCTCGCGGCCGAAATACCCGTCGCAGAGCCCAGTGAACAATCCGCTGAACAACCCGCTGATGAACTGGCTGAACAATTCATTGAACAACCCGCTGATGAACTCGCTGAACAACCCGCTGAACAATCCGCTGATGAACCCGTTGAAGAACCTGTTGACGAACCCGTTGACGAACCTGCCGAAGGACCTGCCGAGATTGCGGTCACTGAACAGTTGGAGGAAGAGTGCTTCCGCATCCAAGTCTCCGCGAAACATTTGATCCTCGCCTCCTCAGTCTTTAGAAGATTACTCACTGGTGGGTGGAAAGAAAGCATAAACTATCTACAAAAAGGCTCAGTGGAAATCACTGCAGATAGTTGGGATGTCGACGCGCTCTTAATTATGCTTCGCATTATACATTGTCAGTCCCGTCAAATACCGCGTAAATTGACCCTTGAGATGCTCGCGAAAGTTGCTGTTTTGACCGACTACTACAACTGCAGGGAGGCTGTGGTCTTTTTCGCAGATACATGGATTGACGCTCTGGATGATTTTATTCCCGCAACATACTCTAGGAATTCGATTCTCTGGCTATGGGTTGCCTGGTATTTCAACCTCCCCGCCAAGTTTAAAGAAGCCAGCTCAAGTGCTATGTCTTCAAGTAACGGCTGGATTGATAATATCGGGCTTCCAATTCCCGACAAAATCATTAGTACGGGCGCTTTAATCCTCAGATATGCTTGATTACTAATTGAAAGCAGGATCGATGAATGATAAAAGACAGGAAGCAATTGCCGGCCTTATCCTTCGACTTGAAGAAACGCGCGATGAACTCCAAAACGGCAGTAAAGGGTGTGGCTTCGAATGCAGCTCAATCATGTACGGGGCGCTGACAAGAGAAATGCATTTGAATGATCTGTTCTGGCTAAGGCCTGTAGCTCCTTTCCCGGATTTGAGCTACAGATCCCTTGTGCAGAAAGTGTTATCGTTCAGATCGCCGGTATGGTACGGTCCCACATCGTATCGATCTAATTACCGCCACAATTGTGTTTCTTCCACATTCGAACTGCTTTTTGGCGTGTTGGAAGATACAATTGAAGGCCAGGACCTGAATGATTCTGTCAATATGTAGTAAAGGAACTGCCGAACTTTATCTTGTCGTTGATAGTTTGTCGCCTACCGAAACAAGAGCATTCCTGTCCAGCCAGTCGCTGGTTGATGTAGTAGAGATATTTGCAGATGCGATGATGGAGACGAAAGCGACTTGTAGTAATGCCCCTTGGTATTCTTACAGAGCCCTTGTCTTTGGTCTTCTCGCTAGATATTGAAAGTTAACTTAGTTTCCTTCAAACGACAAGAGCCGGAGCTGGACAAACCAAAAACTCCCCAAATCCAGCAACGTACGTATATTCCAATTCACCAAATCGCTGTTCATCTGGCTCTGCAGTCGTAAAGGATGTCGCGACATAGAAATCTACCCATACAATCTGCTATTCACCGCCAGGGTCGTCGCCAGGGAAAACGAGTATGTTTTCGTGAGTGAGATCCTAGAATATCGAGTGACAGAAACCACAACCGATGTGTCATCTGATTCAAGAGCCCTGTGCGGATACTTCCGCAACAATAACTCCTTCAGCTTGGACTGCAAAAAAAAGCTTTCAGTGGTAGCCAGTTGCCAGAACTAAATCTTGCTCTGTGCCCCTGCCCACCGTCCTATTTATAAGCATCAATTTCCAGTCGATCGAGCTATAAATACACGACGGTGATTTCACAAATGCACGGCCCTGATCCCAATCACTAAATTATAATAATGGAAGTTGCTTTGATTCCGGGAATTTGGGTTGCGAGAATACATTGTTGATAGGCAAGGGGTTGTCGCCGATAGTGCTAAAGTTTAATGGAGAGCAAGCGTCATGACCGAAAATTCATAGGCATCCTTCAACTCACGCGTCCAGGCTCCCTAGAAGTATGTTAGAACAGAGACGACCTGCGTTAGAGTCTGGATCGTACCGATGAGCAGCAGAGTCTCTGGAAACTCCTCAAGAAAGATCTCGCTTCTTTCCAAGAGCGAAGCTCCGAACCCCCCGCATCAGGTACTGGTTCAGGCGGTAGCCGTGTTCGCCCCATGCCTGATGCACTCGGAAACCTTCCCATCCTACGGCCAGACCGAAGCAGTGTGCAAAGGACCGTATAATCCTTGTCAAGTCTTCCATTCTCGCCCCGTTAAGACATTTCAACGTCCACTGAGCTCACACCTAGCACCTTGGTCTTGCCGATATTATCGTCAATTGCTGCTTTCTTGGCTCGGGCAAATTGTGTTGGCAAGTTAAAAGATGGGGCACTCGAAATTTCTGCCATTGTGGGCAGCCCACCTAAAGAACCCTATGAGCTTTGCTGTTGTGATTAGGAGAATTACAGTACAAATTCTGCGGATGTCTTCTGCATCATATCATTCAGTTTAAACATTATAGTAATTTCACTGTTGATTGAGAAGTCCTCGTTGATTAAATCACATCACAAGCAATATTCCAGCGAGGCGTGCTGTTCTCGTCTATACTCGCAAACTTTAACGATCGAGCAAAACTAGATATAATATTGTTATTTGTCGACGCTACATACAATATAATTAAAGAGCATTCGATCAAGATCTTACGGTATGCTGGAGACTTTTCCCCTTCTGTGTCTTTACAGTTGTCTGCGCTCTTGAATTATGCATTTTCTATACATTTCAAGTATCTTATTAAATGCCATATCCATGGCTAGACCTGATGTAAGTACTCTCAATTTCGCCTGGATTGCCAGTTTCTATCAATTCCAGAATTTCAAAATTGCTGATGCGAAACTCTCGATGCCACAGAATAATCTAAGCAATCAAATTCAGCTCGAAGCTTGGAGCGACGCCGATTGTCAGGGTAGTACGGCTTTCACAACCTTCACTGAGAATGTTCACGGACGCAATATATCGAACGCATTTGCCTCGCGCAGTTTCAAGCTCTCGCGGGCCCTTCAAGGAAACGAGCAATTGGATATCTCTGTGACTAGCAACTTTTCCACGTGGTACGCGGACAAAGATCAGCTTTCTAAGAACAGTTCGTCCTGCCAAATTTTCGTTCGAACATATTACGCTATGAACGGAAGCACAGAATGTCACAATACACCCAAGTTTACATGCCATCGACTCTGGATGAACGCTGGTCTCTCGTAGACTCGCATTGTCCAACGGAAAGACCTAAGTCACATATCACTTTCTTATTTCACTGTTATTTCACGAACGAAAGCCGAATTCTCTGATCTTAGTAGCCCTAGTCACCTGCCGTTTCGTTTCTTGAGGAACTATGGATGTGATTGTCTCAATGTCCACTTAATCTCGCTATTGCTTTAAATCGAGCTGAATGCTGTCTGACTGACTTTGCTCCATGAAAACAATAAAACAATATGCACCGCAGGTTTTTTCTTTCTTACGTTGCGTATATACAATCTTCATCTTCAATTCTTGGATTATTGAAGCCTTGTAAGGCATATCATTGTTGACTATTGGTACTGTGCAATCCTTGCAAACAACCTACCTATCATTATGTCAATGCCCGAGCAGCACCCCGCATTATTACTCGCTGTGACGTTGCAGTCCTACTGGAGCTTGTAATTTTTGTTGATAAGAGTAGAGCGCCGTACAGTCGATGATGATGATGATGATGATGATGATGATGATGATGATGATAATTCATACGCTGGCCCCTCACTTTAGGCGATATGCAGGGATCCACTATCTGTACTCTCTATATACAACTTTGACGTGAACTATTGATTTTCTGACGAATTTAAAGCCTCGTCAAGGCCTGTGTGAACCAGTACCTGGGGTTGTGTTTTACCACCCTTGTAGCGCGCGACTTCGAAATCTCTGCGATGCCTCCGCGAAGTCCAGGACCGCCCCGAGGACGCTGCTGTCTGGCGGGACATCTTGTAGCATACCTTCCCTACCTTGACCTGCTCCTCCTAGCATATCCGATATGTTGTTTAAAACTCCTTTAATCTTCTGCCGCAGTGTTCGACATATTGTGCTAAGCCGCGGGCAGTCGATAAGTAAGTGCACCACTGTCTCCGTGGCCCTACACTCGCACCGCTCGTCTGCCTGGAATCCATATTGTTTGGCATACTTTGCTAGCCACGAATGGCCTGTGCGGAGCTGTGTAACAAGATATACTCGAGTCCGAGGAAGCGAGCCATATAGACGGCGAGACCTGCTAGGTGTCCTCCGTTTTTCAAGATCCTCCATTCTCCTTTTTACTCTCTGTAAATATTTCTGCGTATGTATCCTTTCTCCCGTGAAAGAAGGTGTTTGAAGGGGTGCTTTTTCTCTATGCCCACTGCATCCTTAGCCAGCCGGTCGGCCGCCTCGTTTCCAGGGTCCCCGCACTGACCCGGCACCCATTGCAGTCGCAGTGGAATTCCACGGGCTTCCAGCTCGCCAGCTGAGTGGTGAATAGCCTGGATGATGCACTGGCCTGATTTGTTCCATGAGTTTCTGATTACCTGCAGGGCAGACATGGTATCGCTGAGAATTGTTCCTGGTTCGTAATTTATTTCCGCGTTCCTTTGGTTTCTCTGTGCTAGCTGGAATACCAATCCAATGGCATAGTGAATCGCCATGAGCTCAGCTGCATAGACCGACCAGTACTCCATTGAGCCGATGCTGACTTGTCGAGATCCTAGGGCCTGTTGATTGCAGTCGAGAGATACTGCTGCTGCACCCAGCTGGTTTTGCTTTCCCGATGCATCCGAGAAGACTACTATGCCATGTCCTGAAATCTGCTTTGCTAAGGCTTGGGCCTGTGCTTTTTCTCGGTCTGGTTCGATCTCATCTCAGTAAAAGTCTGCGCCCGCCACGGTGCTAATGGCCTTGGGTCAATGGTCTCGAGGGCCTGTAGGCGCCTCAAGTCCATAGTTCGCATTGTCTCTGCTATTGGAAAACGTGCCATATTTCAAATGTGCGTGCTGCGTCTCATGGCTCGTTTCATGATTCCTCGCACTGGATGATCGTCCGGTAGGGTGGTGAACCGGGCTACTGTGGTCTGTGCTCGCAGCTTCAGGCGCAGGCGAGTAGGCAGCACGTGAGATTCGACTTCCAGGGCGTCTGTGGACACTGTTCGGAAGGCCGAGAGGATCTGGATTAGGGCTGTTCGTTGGATGCTTTCCAGAAGCCTGAGGTGTGTTTTGTTGCGGAGAGGATCATGCCACACCGTTGATGCGTAGTCTACGGCCGGTATTACGCAAGCTTGGTACAACTGGCGCATCTGCTCCGGTCGAAAATTTCTAAGCCCGCTCAGGGCAATGATCCTTTTGGTTGACTGCTTGACGGCCTGTGGTTTAAGTAAATAAATTCATCAAAAAGTTGCTATCTCAAACACCCACAAACACCGAATCAAAGTTTTCTAATTCTTACCCATCAGTGCGACAGAACTGCCCTAGAAGATATATGAAGGGGGTGACTCTCCAAAACCTGCTTTATTGGAGTTAAGTGGTCACCGACAACGCTGATGTGAGACAGTGCGTTGCTTAGTCAGATCAGGAGTTTCAGTAATCAGTGATTATCAATGCTGGGGGAATATCCGCTTTCAAATTCTGAGAGAATTGAATACTTTCTGCTCGACCTGTATGGTTGTCGGTCAGTAAATTGCCTCTTTCTTCCAATCACCTAGACAGTGATAGGGGGGTGTGGAATAAGGACGATAAGGAACACCCCCTGCGCATACCGGTTCTTCGACGTAACACCGAACGTTCTTCGCGAATGAACAGGCTTCTGGACTTGAAGATGAGCGTACCTGATAATATCTCACAGACGATGAGCTTAAATGGAGGATCACCGCTTAATGCGTCTTCTCCCTTGTCTCCTCATTTTCAACAATCATCCTGATTTTAACATACAATATCATAGTATGGTTTGTATGGGCAGGGATTTTTAGGGTCCCTTTCAACGTAGGTGGCGTGCTCTCTAAGCATTAAACAAGAGTGGGGGATGTAGTAGGTCAGATGTCGAGAACTTCATGTGCTTAGTGTGCAGGTTGTTCAACCCAGCAACCATGCTGTGTAACATGGAACATTCCGAAACCACTGAAGCTCTGGTACAAAGGAATAACTAGCGCATATCTAAAGCTCCTTACTCGAGGAATATGTATGAACTGGCAAAGCGCAATATGATATCGAGATTTAGAGGCTACCGCATGCATTCTTTTGGAGTTATCTAGCGTTCTTCAGACTGGGCAATAGCAGTCCATGTACGATGATTTATTCGCACCGATGACTATAAGGGCAGGCGCTTACCTGCAAAGAATTCAACATTTCCTGTATGTCGTACGTCCCTTTTACCTGCTGTAAAAAGCAACAGGAGCGCATGAAGTGAAACGAATTTACTACTGATTTGCTGTATGCTTGGGCCTGAATTCATTATCCGAAGATATCATAACATGCCATAGGGTGCATCATGCCGAATAAGATGAACCATATCCTATGTTCGCTCATCATCTGGAAAGGCTAAAATGTTTACATTGATGGCATGCGCAAGGGGGTGTTTTGCTCGGACAGCGTTGCATTTTGACTACTACCTTGAACCTCCTCAATTGTATGCTCGTGTCTGGATAGTAACAAAAACTGCCCCTCAGTACACAGACCTCCAAGTATAACTGTATCAGTGCCTACTGGATCACCTTCTAGTCCTTCTACCCTTCTGGATCGGTCAGATCTTTAGATTACAGACGTTCTCAATATCTGCTCTAGGCCTCGAACACAGAAGAAAACAAGATGTCCTGTAAGTGCCTTTCGACTCAAACAGAAAGATCCCACTGCTTATAGATGGCTCAGCTGCCTTCGATGCTAGGTTTCCCAATACGAAAGCCTTGGTGAATATCACGACCACCGAAGCCCCCGTCCCATCCTTGCCAAAAGCAGAAATCCCTGATATTCTGGAAATTTCAGCGTCGTTGAAGAGAGCAACACTTCAGGAACACCCTGACTACAATCTGGTAGCAACAGATGCCGATGTAGCCAACCTTGTTGAGTCGCTAGAGAATGTGCCGGCTGACTCACCACCTTCATTGTTCGTTGATTTGGAGGGAGTGAACCTTTCTCGACATGGAAGTGTCTCACTCCTTCAAATCTTTGCTCTTCCGCAGAAAAAAACTCACTTGATCGATATCCACACGCTCAAGGGAAAAGCCTTTACCAAATCGTCAGTCACTGGGACAACCCTGAAGGACATCCTAGAGTCTCCTTCAATCACCAAGGTTTTCTTTGATGTGCGCAATGACTCCGACGCCCTGTATAGCCACTTTGGCATAAAGCTTGCGGGTGTACAAGATCTCCAGTTGATGGAGCTTGCCACGCGAACCTTCTCGAGGAGGTGTGTTAATGGATTAGCAAGATGTATCGAAAATGACTGTCCGATGACTGCCGCGGAAAGGCGGAGCTGGAAGACGACAAAACAAAAAGGACTTGATTTATTCGCTCCGGAACGTGGAGGTACTTATGAGGTTTTCAATTTACGCCCACTGGCCGATGAGATTATACAATACTGCATTGAGGACGTCAGGCTTCTACCGAGGCTGTGGGAAAAGTACGATCGAAAGATAACTCTACGTTGGAGAGCAAAAATCAAACTGGAAGCAGAAAATCGAGTTCGTGAGTCACAATCTAGTACATTCAATGGCAAGGGCAAGCATATGGCATTAGCACCCAGCGGCTGGTCTTGAAGTTTGGGTTGTGGATGTGAGCAAGCTTAGGGGTTTTCAGCTCGCTCAGTTATTCGATCGGCTGCGAGATTTATTCTGAGTACAACAGAAGGAGTCAATCATCTAGGTTTAATCAGTGCATTCGGATACAATAAAGTGTTCTTTTGTAGGGAATAAAGAAATGGGCATGTTCTGCGTCCAGAGATCGCTTCATTTGATATTCACACCGGCGCCGCGAACATATTCATCGCGAAACCTGCTGGTACGGAGGACTTTTGAACAGATATACATATCGTATACTCTCAAGCTCTTTCTAAACGCGGTCTATCGCCCCTGCTCCTTCGTCCAGTATCGCTACATCTTCCTTCGGGCCCGAGGTCTCAGCAGCCCGGGTCCGCAAGGCGTCAGCAGCATGTGGCGAGTGCAAGCGACACAAGGCAAAGGTAACGATCCTTTAGTATGTAGGTCACTTTCGTCCAAAGTCGTTAGTCCTCTCGCTTCATTCTGACCGTGTTCTAGATATCTTTTATTGATGTAACGGGTGGAATATAGGCACTAGTTTGACACATGTCTCAATAGGCAAGAAGTCCGCCACTGTTGTCGGCCGCAGGAGATACACACACAGGATAAGACTGAATCGCAGACAAACGAAGATGAAACTACCTCATAGTCGTAGTGTATGGTGTTCAATTATCTAAATTACGTCAAAGGATTCTTGTGACAGGAGTTAGATAAAGTGTGCAAGAATAAACCAGAAGCAGGATCCACCGAGCCAAATGAAGCGGCGAGAAAGCTTGAAGCAGAAACCAAGATCAAGAGAGGCTCACAACTGTCACACAAATGCTTAATCCCACTAAGAGGAAGAATATAAGGGACTGGGGGGAAAACGGCTACAACAAGTCTCAAAGAAGATCAGAATACAATAAAAGGAAAAAACGAAACCAAGATTAAACAGAAAAAAAACAATTGGATATAATATTACTTCACTCTGGATAAAAATCAACGAATAGTAGCAATAGTGGAACCCTGCATATAGCCTTATGCTAGAGATTAACTCAACTACTAGGCTTAGGATTGTGCTTGTACAAGTACCCGACAACTGCTCGACTCTACTACTGTTTATGCGAACCAAATCTCAATACTAAGAATAGTATTAAGGGTCCTTGGACAGTTATTAAAAGGGTGCGTTATCTCTGCCCAAAAAGCTTCTGTTTGACTTATTGGAACCTAACCTGGCGGAAAACTGTACAGGTGCAGCTTCTAATTTAAAAGACCAGCTTTAGCTACTTATAATTACATATTCTACCGGGCAAGTTGCGGCAGAAGCCTCCAGGATCCAAATATACCAGCCGAGAACATACTATCTTAGAAATAATATTATCTAAATACTAGTCATTATCTTCTTTTAAATCACCTGCCTTTTTTACTTGCCGCCTGTCGACATATTCCACTTGCTGTGCCCCTGCCGGTGACAGCCGTCAAAAGAGTTCTTTAAAGCCTAATAATAATTTAGTACTTGCTGTACAATAAAAGCATAGTTTTAGTTAGATTATATTCTCACCGCCTGTACTGCGCCCCGTGCCGACCACCCCTAAGAATACCCCTTGATATAATTCTGGTCAATCTCGCTCACATGCTCATAACAACTACCAGGTTTATCATTGAGCTCAGCAGTTAAGTAAAGTTTTTGTAGTATATGTTCCTCATTCAAGCACCGGTTCAAGTCAAAGAGCGAGAAGAGAACAAGAAGTGGTTTTCTTCCGCTGATTGGCTGAACGGGAAATGTATCGGGATGGTAAAGGAGAGAAGTTCCTGTTCGCACTAACGAATAGTAGATTCTTGGCAGGTACCTATTGCCAATACAGTACCACTTTGAAACATACCGAACACACGTCAAACTTGAAGAAGCAAGGCCCATCATAAATCCTTTACCCCGCTTGACCATTCCTCCTCGCTTGACTTCATTCTCTTCTAGCCTCCAAGGCAATTCAGTACACAGAAAGAGGTTCTTCGACAATTAACAATCAGGCTTTTGTGTTCAGAATTTTGTGAGGTTTCCCACGACCAGACATTCTATACCGACATCTCCAAGAGGTAGATGATGAGGCCCACAAAGGGCTTAGTTTAAGGAAGAGAGACTTCAAGCGATTCTTCTCATGCTATCAAAAGTAACTCGGTGCTATCCCATCGATCTGTCTGCCCAAGCCGCCACATTGCTTTGAGTCGCATTTCGTCATCCAACACTTAGATTGTAATATTGGATTACTTGCTTTTTTTGAATACCATCCAGGATAAACGTCCAAATATGTCAAAGTATAATTATTAATATGCTAGTTATAAGGATCCTCATCGGGTTCGGAAATGGTTCGACCTTGTTTACAATATGGTCCGAAATATGGCATTTTTAATGTTTTAATGAAGATATATCGATGAGACCAGATTTCGGATGAAAACTGCTTGTATGATCTGTGGCTCAGAAACCCAATAATCGCGTGCCAAGTATATACAGCTAGGCAACTGGGCCGGGTTTGCTACTGCAGCTTCTGCTCAGCAGAGTTGTTTCTCTGCCTCTATCTATTCACCTACTCCAACCCTCTCCGCCTACGCCCTCCTCTTTACTGCACTGCCTATGCGGTGAATCCTCCAGTCTCTTTGGTAATCCTTATTCACTTATGTGTTCTACCCTCTCTACCTAGGTATATATATCTTCATTTCTCTCATGCTTGCTTGCTTCCTCTTTTTTATTCACTGTACCTCTTTCTTACATGGGTGAGAACTTCCAGACATGTTAGTATCTGGTCTTGCTCTTCTCCTCCCCTCTCCTATCCGGTCCATTGTCTTCTTTGCTGAGCCCAAGCTAACCTTGATATTTTCACCTTGTGTACCAGCTTTGTCTACGTCTATCTGCAACAGTCTGCCTTTTTGTTTCTACTATTTTCTGCAGTGTAAGTTATCTTCTGCCTAGCCCACCCTCTCCTCTGCTTAGGCTATCCCATATCTACTTGTGTACTAATAGGTTTGGCTTTACTCTATAAAAAACAACAATGCCTACGGCCGACGCCAATGTACCTCGCTCGGCTGTGTCCCCCCTCCGCCTACCCTTCCCCTCCCAGCCTGTCATTCCGGTGGTGAACGACCTGAACCAAACGCTTGCGGAGCTCTTTAAACTCCACTGGCCATTTGGGTATCCAGACCTCGAACTTGCCATCTCGAATGCTCGAACCACTGATATCCTGGTCGAGATTACTGATGTAGTAATAAACTTTTACGCGGACTCCATAAGGCACGGGGCAGCCTTGAATGTCCTCAATACTTGCAGGGAAATTCTAGACCTGGTGCTTGAGTTCACCCGTATCCATCTTCCTCAGCCAGGTCCCCTGTAGTGGTCACTGTTTATTTATTTTCGTACATAGCCTTTTGAAATAACAGACACCTGTTCCTTATTCTGTTACAACATCAATTCACGGTGCCTCAATCTCGCTCTGGGTTACAGAGAAATAGAATACAGTCGGTTATATTTCAGTGCTAGCAGTACCCTGGCTCTTGTTACTATAAACACATCAGCAATTCTCTTTTTCTCCAGGCGAGGGAGGAAGGCATACGTACAGTATATGAGAGTCTTATCTTCTCACCCATCGACCAGTACATCCCCAAGCTCAGCGTGCGATCTCAGGACTAGACTATCAGGGTTGAGCTCATTGTATGGTTAAGAATGTACTCATCCTTATGTAGTGTGGAATCAGTCGCAAAATGCACATTGAAGGACCAGAGCTACGGGATAATGGGTCTCAATCCCAAGGTTTTGAAAGCTGTTCTTTAAAGTCCTCTTGCAGCCGATGTACCTCAGCTCGATAATAACAGGTATAAGCCTACTCTACAGCTACTGTAGCTCGGGCAGTGCTTTTTTATTGTAAGAACCTGCAATATATGCCTTACACTACATGGCTTCATTATCTTCCAGCTTCGTGCCAAAGACTGGCTTAATGTTGTTTCACTCCGGCGTTGCTGAAACAATCGAAGAGTGTAGGTGGTGACACCGATGTCCGGAAGAACTGTAGGTTGATTTCGAAAATTTAATGAATGAACTTTAGGTGGGCAAGTTCTCGCTCATTCGAACAGCCAAGGATGTGATCACACCACACAATATCGTTCGGGCTGTCTACACCACCCTGAGAAAAGAGAGTTCGGGTGTAATTGGCGACCTGTAAATCTCGGTCGGCAGTTTCATCTGGGTTGAACGCCAGACCAACCCGTCTAAGGGTCTTGTAATCCTCAAGCATCGGGCCAACGTTCACAGTTGGACAGAAAGCTTAAGCCCGGAAGGCGACATCATAGGCTGTTAGAATACCTCTAGGGTCAGAATCTGAGAGTATTCACTGTCGAGAACTCGCATTTGCGACCTACCTAGCAAGAGGCTACTTGTTAATTCCTTGTCTGATGGGTGGCAATGAGTTCAATCTAAGAGTTGTTTGCATCGAGTTTCATCGATAATTGAGCCTGTACAGAATGAACATCGAATGTAGTCAACACAATACAAGATATTGTTGCTTGATTAAGAAGGCTCCTGAGGGATCAAGGACATGGCAAAGTATCAACAGCTTTAAACACAGTATTCTCAAATCCGTTACTAGTCGGTGTAACTAGCCGAATACCCCGCCTCAACGAAGATTAGGTTCCATCTGGTTGTAAAAGCAGTTTCAAGAAATGTCAACAACTGCAGCATTTCTTGCTCAAAATCTTCGAGTGGCACCCAATCATTCGATTGAGCGTTATACTGACTCCAAATAAACTTGCAAACCTGATGAAACATGGCCTGGGGCTCCGCGATAAACCGACGAAGTTTTTTAGAAACAGGGTTATTTGAGTCAAAGTGCTGAGCAAGGAGAGAAAGTTTCAACAAAGCATCCCTAGTGAGCACACTGGAAATTTCTGTCATATGGTCACAGAGTAGCTTATTACCCATAAGGTGGGATACATCTTTCTTGTAGAATGCCTCCTCTTTCAGGTCCTGGCATTCTTGCAACAGGAGTCTGGCTTCCTTGCTGAGTTCTTTCTTAAAATTCTCGCCGCAGAATAGTCTTCGCAGCCTTCAGAACAGATTGAGCCGGATGCTGAAGGAAACTTTCGTGGCTTGTAATCTGTAAAGCCTTAGGTACAGTAGTATAATCAGCTAATGTCATATCTCTTTAGTACTGTAATGATAGGGCTATGCTTACATAATTTACCGAGCAGTGGTGATCGAAAGACAAAAGACAGATGGTGAAGTGTATGGGTCTTAGGCATTCCATGTCAATGCTACATAGAGCGTCGGGCGGAAATCTCTCGCTTTATGAGAGTGACAGGTCACAATGGAACATCTGGTTGCTCTGTATGGGTTAGTGGCCAAATCTATCTAGCCCCTAGGCCCCCCGTCACGCTTCCACCATTGGAAAAAGGCGTGATGTTTTGGGAACAACCCACTACCCGTCCTACATTCGACATATTCTAGTGTATTGAACCTCTTCGTATTTGATTTTGCAAAGGCATCTATCCCCGCCCCTGAAACTCTGCTTCTCCATCGCTTAATGTGCAATAGCTGAACCCATCCCGCCACAAAGCGTTATGGAGCGATCTAATAATATACTAACAATAGAGGCAGTTGCAAAAGAAATCCCTTCGTAGGAATCAGAATAGTGATGATTGTTATTAAGAAAGGAAGCCTGCTGTTCTAGTGCAGATAAATCAAGGATATGTATTATACAGTCTGAGTGCGCTTTTTTCCCAGAGATTAGAATATTTTCTTCAAGCTATTGCCATCTCTTTTACCGATACCTAACCTTCCACAACGCCCTGGGGTTCCCTCTTGATTGTTTACATCATGTCAGATACAGATGCTATTTTATTCGTCATTATTGTTTATGATTGCTCGTAGCATGGGGAATATTCGGCAATTCTCTCATTGACCTCTGGAATGAGGTAAGAAGACAGTATAGGTTAAAACAACTTCCGCCATCACAGCGCACAAGCTCGTTCTATCAATTGACGTGACACTAGTCATAGCGACTGCGTGGCAAGCGCCTGTCTAAAATAGGTGATAATTCTAGTGACCAGTAGTTGATAGCGGCCTAGGCCATACAGTCGGCATCACACTAAGGGGAGCTCATCCAGCCGTGACGGGAATGACTCTGTGTGCTTACTGAGACTCCGCGAATGGAGGCTGATGTGGCTGTTTTACAATCGGTTTTACTGTATCTCGGCTTAATGGGCCGCGATGGGATTCATTTTCATGTATTACAGTCATCGCGAATGTCAGAAGTGGATCCGGACGTGCACTCCAGTCCTACCGACAAGCCAATTCCCAGCATTGGGTTTGTTGTGTTGGATACTCACTAGCTGTGACGAACGACATCGATGTGCTCAAGCCCGTACCGCATACACAAGTTTGACACATGTCAGCGTTTTGAAAGAGCTCGTTTCCGTAATAATTTAAGAGTATGCAGCCAATGTTCTAGGCTTCAGGCAGGAAACAGATCCCCGACAGCTGCGGCGGAGAGTATTACGTGCTTCATGACCGCGAAACTATGATTTAATGCGCCGACATCGTACGTGCTCCTTTCCTGGCCATATCTTGCCCTCCAACAAGTCGTTCGCCCATACTTCTCCCGAGAACCTTTACAATCCGCCTCCGTGACGAAAAAGCTCCCAGGATATGTCCGTACTAGCCGTGCTATCTCTATCCATTGTATCTAACTCGCGGCGCAAGTGTTAATCAAGAGCTTATTAGCGTAGGGCTAGTAGGTAAGCACACAGAAAAGCACGCATTAAATTATTATACATTCATGCATCACTCTGTAAAGAAGGTATGTTATTTGCCGGAACATTTTTTAGCTGAAAGCATTTGCCAAATGGTTATGACTAAGTACCTGCCTTTTTACTGGTCAGTACATTAGAATGCTCTCGAGCTCGTATTTCATTTACAAAGCGTATTTTGTTTAACTTGTATTGTAATTTCATCATTAAGGTTTGTAAGCTTGATCTGAAAATTTTAGCTTTTGTTGTAAGGTTTATGGTCTACTTGGAGCGCAGGCAGGGGCAAGAAATAGGCAATAATAAATGTAGGTAGTGAGGCATCTCGCAAGGCACACTTTAGTCAGCTCCTACAGAAGATATAAAGAGTCTTCAGGGTCAGCCGACAAAGAATCCAACCAGTCTCATTTCCAAGTCACTTCCTCTATCTTGCATTTATTGATAAACATATTTTCTCACCATGTCATCTTCATCCACAATCATGACTGACACTCCCGAGCATGTTCTAGGGATCGAAGACGTCCCATTTATCCCCCGCCACTCTCTTGAGCGTGTCGGAAAATTTGAGAAGATCGAGTTTGAGCAGTTGCAAAAGCTCACGGGCGAATTCGAGAAGGAAGTTCTCCAGCCGCAGAGAACAAGGGCCGATACCACAATCAACGTGGTATATGTCGTCAACACGGGCAGCGATGAGAAAGCGACGAACATGCATGAGAGCATCAAAGTGAAACTTGAAGAAATGGAGGAAAGTACAGGTGCCATAATTAAGTTCTTAGGCACCTACCGCGTCAATGTCCTTTCTCTTCGAAAATCACAGCCCGTCGGCGAGAGGGAGGGCGTGCAATATGCCAATGACCGGATCTGGGAAATCGATTCACTTGTCAGAGAACTTCAAATGGGCAATCAGAACAACCCTACAACTGATCATACTATACCTGACGGCCTTGAAGATGCAATCAATGACGCGGATGTGTACATCTTCGGGTCTCAGGAGGCATGTCCAATTCTTGATGTTAAGACGCCCTATGAGCCGAATTACCTCATGTATTACTTCGCCTCAGCCACAACGTTTGATATCAGCCTTGATGAGCGTTTTTCCATGGGAAAGACTGCGGGACTGCAGGCTGTGAAGGAAGCTGTTATGCTGGCCATTGAAAGGAACAGCAACAAATATGCTGGACACTGCACTTGGACTGGTGGTAAGGTCCTTGAAGAAAAAGGGTGCGCTACGAGTCATTCCAACTGGCACAAAGAGCTCGGCCCTAAGGGTACTGATCGGTTTACGTATCCAACCGAAGGATACCGAGAATTGAAACTACCTGCTGGATTGGTTAAACACATAAACACTCTTTCGGACAAAACTGCTTCTCAGTGATCGCATGCAAGATACTCAGTGGCATTTTCAGTCACTATGATGGGATCCAACCAGCCCAGTATCTCAGGGACATTGTTTCACTACTGCACTTCCACTAATGATGGCGGCAACTCTTACAGGGGCTGGTCATAGAAGATGTTTGCGGCTGATGTCTGTTGGCTTGGCTCTGGCTTCTGATCCGATTGAGTTATTATGTTTGTTGCAGGAGTTTAAGGTCGTCCCAATGTTTCCAAGTTCTCTTTAGGTCTTACTTGAAATTGATCCAGACACTATGCATCCTCTTTCCGCCTTCCATTCCTGAAAGTAGAGCACCACACCCCAGAGCATCCGACCGAAGTGAAATTTAGGCTGGTGTCATTCCTTATGGTTATCGAATTGAAACTCAAATGATGGCTGCCAGATCGTGTATACAAGAGCAAGCTCTTTGAAGTCATCAATATAATAAGTTGGTCCTTAAACTTTTGTTTACATAGTTATTGCTTGATTTACTTAGACCAGCGATACTTCAGTAACTTCATCCGGTTGTTGGAAAAAAAATTGGTTTGCTTATTAATTTACTTTTCTTTTCGCTGATAATAATACGTGGCATAGCATGGAATAAGCGGTTGGTAACTTGACAAGCAGCCTAAAGCATAGCACATGTTTCGATGGCTCAGTCGAAGATTCCAGAATTATGAATTGTGAGTCTAGTGAGTTAGTTGTACCCAAAATTACATAGTATCTTGCTTCATGCCAAGAGGATATGCTTGATTACACCAAGAGTATGTGGATTAGTGCTCTTAGCATGGTGTTCGGGAACAATATTCCAAGAGTCCTAGGTAGGCATGGCAATTGTGCAACGCACTGTACCTGATCAGCTAAGCTGGTAGAACTTCGCGTCAGCAACGGGGAGTCCAGTAGAAGGAAAGGAGACACAGGTACAGGTAAGGTGGGATGAAAACAGGCAGAAAACTAAAAAACGTAATGAAAGAGGGAGTAGAAGGCGACAAAAGGAAGGCCAAAAGGTAGACAGAGGTCTTGGAGAGAAGATGATGAAAGATGTAAATTCAGAAAAACAAGGCGTTGTGAGGATAAACTCAGGTGGTGGCACCTTACGTGGCTGGCCATACTCTCTCATTACCAGTTCGAGCCCGATGACATCTGGTCTTATCATGATATATAAGTTAGAAAGGGAGGACGATTACTAGTAATCTGATTACTCCGTTGTGCCTGCTGCATACCGATTCAATCCAAACCCAAGGCCGATAGTAGTAAAGTCTCCCGCTTGGGATAAAAAGCACGTTCAGCAGCAACCACAAATCAATTCACCGCCGTCCTGCACCCTCTGAGCAAGATTAAAAAATTGCCAGTCAGTCCTCATATGTATCTTGGGTAATAGAAGAGCTCACTCATTTATGAGGACCACTTATTCTGTCTGTTGTCGTTAACCACTTGGCTACCTGGACAGAACTCGTGAATTCTCAGATGGCTTCAGCTGATCAGTCTCGAGCTCTATATAAGTAATATTTCACTCACAGTTGAAAAGCTCCTATCAGTGGAAAGAGATATACTTTTCCAACGGTGCAGCTTGCTCCGATAATATGTAGGCGAGTTGTGCTCTGTAACATAGATGGAAGCCTGCCTTTTTTTATAGCTGATATCGGGTCCAGAGTAACAACAGCCCGCTGAACATGACTTTGGTATCCATTAGTTTCCAGACACCAGCATACAATATTCAGGATTCTCACGGAGGCTTATTTCTCTCAGATACCATCCACCAGTCCAGGTGCATCGTGTAGGACTGAAGCAGTGTACTAATAGGAATCAGGCATTTCTCTTGTTGAAGACTCAAAAGCCGTTCGAAGGATGGTACGAATATCTCCCCTCCCATTAACGTTCCATTCTTCTCTGCTTTACTCTTTCTTCGGCTTGTCTGGGCTTCTTTGGCTTCGCGATTTGATGGTTCTTCAGGTTGTTGTGTGATGAATACTTTGTCGCATCCACTATACTTAAGTCGATTTCTCCTGATAACATGCTTGAAGAATTCTGACAGATGTTCTCCAAGCTCTGTGCTGTTGGCAAAAATCCTCCAACACCCACATTCTCTCAATTCGCAGATTCTGCAGACATGTCAGCAATCACTGTAGCATACAACTTACAACATAGGGCATGTTTATCACCTCGGACCATTATCGGGTTTGAACTCTGGATCTCGCTTAGGGGAGTTCGCATGGTGATTTCTGATATGCGCTCTAGCTTTGTCAAGTGAGTCAAAGCAATGTTCACAGTAAGGACATAAATGTGACTTCGGGAATAGATGGTGTTCTTTGATATGATTTGTGAGTGCGTAGAGCCTGTAAAATGTTCCATATCCGCATCCTGACCAAGTGCAAGGAAATTCAACCACTTTTTGGCTTTTGATTTCAGTTAGGATAATATTCATGAACACGAAGTGACATGAAAGGACTTAACGTACTCTGTCTTGCTGTTACACGAGTAAAAGGCTGTTGAATAGCTGTCTGCTAGTGCTAAGTCATTTTGCTATACAATTACAGTAAACGTAAGCCCCCGGGATAAGAATTTAAGGTGTGAATATACCTGATTAAAGGAGTTTGAGACTGGGTCTTGGCCATCCTCTGAGAGAGACTTCTGTGCTGGTCAACAAAAGGACTCTACAGTATTATCATCCATGCGCGAACTTGAGAATATATTGATAGCACTGACAGAGGCTTGATATATCTTTTGTGGCAGGTGATTCAGGTATCCCGACATTATAACAAAGAACCATAAAAGATTTTCTGCTTTTAGATGGTTGAACGCGACTGTAATCTTCGAGGCGACAAAGCTCGGCTTTTCCCCTATCTTAGGAAAAAGAGGCGACTTATATTCTCAACCTGGTCCGGCACGTACAAAGTGGAAATTACGATAGACGCAACATGCTGCAACTCAAAAAGCCACACAACTTCAGCTGAGAATGAAATTTGATCAGGGCTATCCTGGCGTAGTCTAGCGACCGAGTTCCACGCTATGCATCTCGGGATCTGTAATAGAAGGCGATTTACCAGGCGAGTCGCCTACCTTGTGATCTTAGCTAGTTTTCCTACTTAGAAATCAAGAAATTGTTCCATATTACCTATTCTCGAGTTACCCACATGAATTCCCTTCTCTGCAGGCTTTTGCCACACTCTACCCCGCTCAGTATCATAAAATACTAAAAAGAGTATTATGTTGGTGATTGTCTAGAATCTTATTGAATGTTCAACAAACCGCATTTGCTTAATACCGCCTCATCTTTGATAAAACTGGAGGAACGGCTTCTAAAAGGACAGCATAAGCTGTGGCTTGAAGCTAACTGATATGAATCATGCTTTTGAGTTGATGTATAGTATTGTATAATAACTAATTCGCAGACTCCTTGGCCCTGCGAAAGATGACTGACAAACTTGGCATTATCGAAGGAGCCCGGTGATAAAGATTCTTCTATAATACATTCAGTGTGAAGGCTGATGATTGCATCTAGTCCTGCCCCATTAACACTAATATTCCAGCTGACATGGATGGGAGACCAGGAGTTCTCATCGAGAACCTGATGAAAAAGTATAGATATTAAGCGGGGCGAAATACGTATATTTTTGTAGTATATTTGAAGATACATTGTCTCTTACACAACATTTGGCATATAGCAGCCTGGTGGATACTATCTCATAAATAAACATCATCTCTTAAAGATCTATGCATATACTACCACTGTTGAACAATACTAAAAGGTCTATTTGGAAGAAAATATCAGGCATCAATAAACTGGCCCGTGGTTTTTGTAAAAAATAGGACCTATCAGTAACAACAAATAGGCCCTCAACTTGGTAAACCCGAATCATCTTTGTACTTTAGGTAGTTTCGTCACGCTATGAAGTCTCCACGATGATGAAAAGCTTATAAGAGAAGTATCTACTTGGATAACATGGATAATTTGTTTTTGTATTTCGATACCAAGGCAGGACAAGACAATAGTCGAACGCCCAAAGCTTAAATTCACTAAGCACTAATGTAATCCTGGAACCGCGTGCAGCATCTCAGGATAACATTTGGAAACAAGCAGTTCTGGTTGAAGTAATTACATTATTTGGGTGGCGGTCAGATACTGTGTTCTGTTGCAATACGACACAGTAGCAGTGCTATTGAATTGAGACCCGTAACTTAGTAACTATTACTTATATATTTCTGCCTATACTTAGTCCTTCATGCTAAGTAGATATGAAGCAGGCGAGCTGCTGGCTACATAGCAAAGCACACCCCCCAGTCAATATATTAACATAACTTAAACGCCCATCGTCAAAGTGGTTCGCATATCTGGATCCATACATTTCTCCAGCGGAGTGTCACAATAAGTTCAAGGATGTGAGTTGAGTAACGCCGGGGTCCGTGAAGAGGGCGACCAAAGTGTTGTGGAAAGATTCTAGCATATAAAGTATTAGTACTGTAACACAATAAATAAATCTATGTGATAGCAACTGGAAAATAATAGCTTCTAGAGCCCAGCTGGGGAATAGTATGAGTAAAACAAAGTACGACGAAAACAGGAGAGTTAATGACACATCTTAATTATGCATAGGTTTTTGGTCTTATTATCAATGAATGATTCTGAACCGCAGATACGAACTCAACGCCACAGATGTCATGCACGTCATCGAACAACATGCTGCACACTATAAGCATTTCGGCTGTATCCGGAATCTCCATGAATCCCCATACGGCCCAAATCGGAAACCAGCAAGATATAGATATTCGTGGTCAAGTTCTCGGGCAGCAGGTGCTTCCATATCTAATGATGCTACAATAGCAGCCTAGCTAAGCTTTATTTTTGAGCTTTATGGAATAAACTGGTACTAGGTCGATACTAGCATATTATAATTTGAGATACGTCAAGTCAAAACATGTTCAGCACCGAAAGATCTTGATGACAGAGTTAGGTCTGGGAACGATTTTTAGTCCATCTGACATTCAATCGCGATCACAAAAGATGATGTCAGAAACGTCCGAAAACACCCAGACAATTTCATCCTGCAAATTGTTAATAAGATTCAGACATCCTGAATATTTGTACTCACGCCATAAACTATATCAACGAACATTATATCTCTTTCAGGAGGAGCAGTGCGCGACACAGATTTAATCCGAATAAGACTCAACCGGTTGTCAGAGTCTGTCAAATAAAATCGTAATATATCATCATTCTGTAGGGATATCTCTTCTATATCCGGCTGGACCTGTGTACTCTCGTACCAACGACCTAGGATGCGTATTGTGTCGTCATTGTAATCAAGAAGTAGTCCTGTACAGCGAGAACTCACATAGCACGCTTTGATTGTTCGAATGTTTCTAAATGAAGCTTGTGAAGAAAACTGAAGGAACACAGAATTCTGCAACTGATTCACCACTGGATTATGCGGTCTCATCTGTGGTATAGAATCCTGGAGCGTAGATTCTAGAGGGTTCTTGAGTGGCTGACAGATTGTCCCCAAGCTCGTGAAGCTAGGTAGACCAGGAGACATATCATAGTAGAGGCCCAGGATTTCTCCATCCCCAGGACCATATATTCTTTTCATCCTGATCACGGAAGGCGAAAAAGAAGGTCCAAGAAAGTGATGCCTATCTCTGCTGGTTGTGATCTATATGAAGTTAGCAGACGTCATTCTCGGACTTGGCTATTCATACAGCAAGATAACGATTGTACAGTGAATCATTCTGATGCCAGTAAACATGAATTGAAAGTACCGTTTCTGAGCAGTCAAATTGAATATGGATCGGACAACCGTGTTGTTTACCGTACCACGATACCATTAGCTGCTCTCTAGAATTTGTAGAGTGATGGTGGATTCCTAGACCGACAAGTCCTTCATCGGAGCAGAATGCGGTTAATCCGCACAGCAGCTGGTTTCGTAAAGATATGTATCTCATATATCGCTGAGACTGGGTTGCAAAATGGAAATGGCGCGGCCAGTCGTAGAAAAGCTTCGGAGAGAGCCAACGCAGCTGGCCGTAAGGTATCGGAGATAGCCAAAGGAAATCATGTCCGAATGTCGATTTATCGTGAGTGCTGGTCATAGAAATTTTCCAGACCTAGTTTAAAATCAGCCTCAAGCACTAGTCTTACATTAGAGGTTTCATACATCCCAGGCAATATCAATGTAGACCGGCCCTGCTTCTCGACACAAAATAACACGAAAAAGCTTGCTGCTCTCTAGTTCGTTCATGTTCTCCGAACTGGCTTCAGTCCCGGTTAAGAACTTCAGCTTCTGAAGTCCGTAAGTGCCAAAACCGAAGACACAGGCGGTACAATAAGATGGGACCAAAATTGAGGTAGAACAACTGCCCATCTGACCATACAGCACACACCCTTGTCGAATGCCGCATACATAGGTTCCATTGATAATGTTGGTGAAGTATACCACTAGCTTTCCGTGTAAAGAGATAGTTGCACACCCAGCTGAACGAGGAAGGTATGACCGGATACTATTTGATGCATTGAGTGCAAGTAAGCACCGAATGGCACCAGGGTCGAGGAAATCCCATATCATCGCACTCAGCTCGGCTGGCAGCTTTGTGCATCTCCTCAATAATCCACAAAGGATGCCATCGTGTTCTTTGAGGCGAAAATCTTCGAATAATGCAACGATTGAATTAGAAGAGAGAGGGTAGGTTTTATAGATCTCTTGCGGAAGTTCAGTCCATACGACTGGTGTTGTTGCAAGGATAAAATCTGAGAGAGTGCGACGACTTGGAAGATTGATTACAGCTGCTTTGCAAAGAATGTGCATAGCAGGAGTAAAGACTGCTCTTCTTCGCGGATGATTGTAGACACGAATGGATAATTCTTCCAAGTATATTACTTCATTGCCTTGGAAGCTTATAGCTTGAGTTACAACTGGATCCTTGCATGTAGAAAGCAGTAGGACTTTGTGGATTAGTACATAGTTGGATTATTTCTGGACGTCACATACCTAAACAGAAAAAACTGTTTGCATTGAATTTCTGTCCGCAGAGTACGCAATGGGGCAGCCTAACGTACTGGTAAGGCTTTTGCATAGGGGGTGCCATGGTGTAACGTGCGGGATGTCAAGCCTGAGAGAATAGAACAAAACCTGAGTAGCACGAAGCGGCATCGTCAGTGATTTATGCTTTCCGGGAGCGGTCTGCAAATGTGCACGGCGAATGAAAAGCTGCAGCACGGTGCGCTACTTACCGCCTTTATTTAGAATATGATACCTTGCATCTGAGAAAGTCAGAATAACGCGATACTTAATGACTATCTAGCAAGATCGCGGATCCAGAAACATCTCCTTGGCACTGTCTTTTACTGAATACCGAAGTCTCAAGATCTATATTCCGACCGAACGGTCAAAGGAATAATCAAATGTTACTGATATGAGAGAACAGTCGGTAATTACAGTCATTCAAGGGGCTGCACAGAAAGAAAGAAAACACAGCACTATCAACAGATGAATTGCGACAAATCTTGATATTTATGGTAGAGAGACTTCGCTATGTTGAGTAGCGATAGATCGGTATCATGCATAAAACAGACAATAAACAGAAACATGGCTAGTCAGGAGCATGTTGAATGCGTAAGAGTGAGCAATTTCCTTTCACAGTAGAACTGGAAGATTCTCCGTGTCCTTATCAGCGTAAATCTTTTTGGCACCATTAACGTATAATTGTTTCGCAACTATCCATTCACCCGGGGAGCCCAGCCCTACCTTCCCGGTAGCCTCCTTCCATGAGTAAGAATATTGACTTGTTGATAGAAATTTGACCACTTTTTCGAACCCTTCAGGGACTTGACCAGGTGGTGGTAGATTTGGAGTGGTCCGCAGCATGGCTCTTGTCTGATTGAGGACAGGGAGTTGATACGCTCCTGACTCCGATGTCGTCTTGATTGCATCAGGTTCCTTATTGATCCATGGCACCGGTGGTATACCGATCATGTCATGAAAGGTTTTCTTGATGACTGCCCCATCATCATCCTTGCCCAAATCCTTGTAGTCATTGTTGCTTCCAAAGTCGTCACTACCCCACAGTGCTTCCAGCTTTGTCTCTGCTTCTGTTTTCCCACGGCGGGCTTTCCATAGTCTCAAATGCACTCCAACGAGGGTTCCAGCATAGACAAACTTGGCATCATTAGATCTGTTGCTGTGGAAGAACTCTTTGCAATAATCAAGGGCTTCGGTCTCAACAGCTGTAGTGATATAAGAAGTCCTATTGATCGTGCGCTTGGCCTCAATGAAGCACAGAATTTGAATTTCTCGGTGTTCGGTCAAATAGTGTATAACAAGATCGCAAGCCAAGTCCGAATTGTCGTGTGGGGGAATTTGTGAGTTCACAAAAACAGTACTGTACTTGTCTCCAACGAACACCACCTTGTTAAGAACATTCTCAAGAACTTGCACAGCAACGGACTCTTTTGGCGGCGTATAGTCGTCAGGAGGGGGGAATTTCACGCGAGCTTTGTTGTACAAGGGGAGATTGGCGTATGTGATCAGCCCTTGGGCAATGGCTCCGTGATTCATGTCGACACCGAATATCGAAATTTCGAGTTCGGAGAAGGTTTCATAAATGACGACAAATGTGTAGAAGAGATTATGAGGAAATTTTCGGGGCCTATATGACTATTTATCATATGTGAACGTGTCTAGTGTGTTCGCCTAGCTGTAAAACTTCCAGCTATCAAGCTCGGTAGCAACCACTTCACACCATATGAATAGTGAATAATCCATGTACTGTACAGGCTAGCGTAGGTTGGCATCAGGGTTCGAAAACAATGTAAGGCTAATAGTCGCGAACTAAACTGTGAGGGATTCTGTACTAAATCAACTTTACTTGCTCAAACAGCCAAAATCATAAATCCTGCCTAGAAATCGCCGTCCTCGGAGGAGGAAGAGGAGGAATAGGAGGTATGGGCGACGACCGAATTACAGGTTCTGCCTTTTTCATATGCTACTGTAATATCTTGACCGATTATGTTACTATATCCGATCTGGTGCATGAACTGTGATTAATCATTGGGTCATACCTGACTCGACGGTTGCAAAAGTAGTCAGGACCATGGGCATGGTTTGAGTATCAATTCAGTGCATTGATGCGCATAAAAAATGGCGAGTGAGCCTGCAATACAAGCGGCAGAACTAAGGCAACTTGATCAGACCAAGAAGCAACAGAGAGAAGCATTACAGAGCCGTGTAACAGAGAGGGCGCTGTGGCGGTGTAAGCTTACGTATTGACATAACAGAAGAGGTAAAACATGTAAGCTTCCGTAACTAAAAGCATGGAGTGTAACTGGTGTTTGTTTTTCCGCCGACATACTTTGGACGTATGTATGGTGTCAATTCTGCCGTCATTATCTATGACGTAAGACTCCTGTTTCTGCCAGAAAACCCCAAGACCACAAGACGATGTTTTCAGAAATCTGCTTTCAATTCCACTACCTTAATCAAGCCCATGCTCTTTATAGGTGTCACCATATTCGCAACTTCGATCACACTTCATTACCTGGCTACTATTCTTTTAGTTAGTAGACAAGAAACAGGTGCTCGTTTTCCGACATAGACGCTTATGTAGCTTGTGAATAACTTTTATAGGAATACAACTGGTGCGACGTCGAGCAGACTACATTTTTTAGGATATAGAATGGTCGAGTGCAGTCATAAAGATAATCTTAGTTCTTGTGAGTCTTTCAGTAGCCTTGATCGAGTCGATTGCTTGCAGTACAAGCACTGGCCTCCTGCTGTCCTAGTGCTGACACTCTTCATATAATATTCTACGCGAGCCCTCTACATGGATTCCAGAATATTTTTCGCTAGTAGAGAAGGAATCAACGGTAGAGGAGTTTTCTTTCAGGAGCGCTCGTTGTTCTACCCACGTAACTTTTTAGATTCGCGGAGCTAAAATTTCCGGAATTTGCGAAGATGGAAGCGCCTCCTGCGAATTTGGAGCTTGGCTAGCTGGCGGGAACTTCCGTGATGTGTCAATGACACCAGCACAGTCCTCTCGAAATTGTCAAACTGTTCACACTAGGCCATATGATTGGAAGTTGAACATTCTTAAGGGAACGTTTCCAGCTCAGTAAGGGGGCAAAGAAGGAAACGATAGCTTCCGTTCTTATTCTGTAGGTTACGGCGGTGAGTGACTCTTTTCTTGATGAGCTCAGATCATTTCAAGCCACGGAAGGCGACATTCTGAACCACAGTTCAAAATGTCAACCAATTACATTCTTGATAGCATGACTAGATGTTGAAGCAGGGGCTGATCTCCCAAGCGCGACCCTCAATCTGCCTCACTTCAGATTTAGCTGTGACAAATTGTATATGACCACTGACCGCCCGTAATTTCTCCCTGACTAGTTGCCCTCTTCAACTGCTCAACCCTTTCCTGGTTCTGACACTGGAATCTCATCATGAACAATAAATTTGAGGATGTTTCAACAGCAATTGATATCCTAATTCGCTTTATACGTCCCTATGACAAGGTGATTGCAGAAAATATCAGCTTCTTGTTTAATCCAATAACGCGCGGCGATATCGACGGTGGATTAGTTGTACTTAAGAAGCGTCTGTGTCAAGCGACCGACCACGACGCGACCGACCACGACGCGACCGACCACGACACGACCGACCACGATGCGACCGACCACGATGCGACCGACCACGACGCGACCGACCACGATGCGACCGACCACGAAGCGACCGACCACGACACGACCGACCACGACGCGACCGACCAC